CGTGGACCTCGGTCCCTGCCTTTGAACCTGGGCTAACTAGACCCTTCCCATAATCAGCAGGACCCCCACCCATAAATGTGAGTGGGAGGACCAGTTCGCTTCCTTCTCACTGAGCTCCCAGAAAGCCACATCCGGGGATGCTCAGGGCTTATTTCTGGCTCTGCATGCAGGGATCACTCCTGTGGGGCAGGGAGGCAGGGACCCATATGGGGTGCCGGGATCGAGCCCTGGTCCGCCTCGTGCAAGGGAGACCCCTCCCCGCTGTCCCATCACTGTGGACCCTCTTGGAGTTTCTAAAAGTGGAAGCCCAAGGGTCCATCCTGCCAGGCTCAGAAACCCCACCTTGGCCAGAGTGATAGTACAGCGGGGAGGGCATTTGCCTTGCACGTGGCCGATCTGGGTTCAATCCCGGCATCCCATAGGGTCCCCCGAGCACCGCCAGGAGTGATTCCTGAGTGCAGAGCCAGGAGGAACCCCTGAGCATCTCCAGGTGTGACCTGAAAAAAGGAAATCTCACCTTGTACCTCACTGGGATGCTCAGAAGATTCCCTGGCCCAGAAAAAGTGTCTGGGGGCTGGAGCATTAACACAGCGGGGAGGGCGTTTCCCTTGCCCGCGGCCAACCTGGGTTCAATCCCCAGCATCCCATCCATATGGCTCCCCCCCTCCCCAGCACCTCCAGGAGTAATTCCTGAGCACAGAGCCAGAGTAACCCCTGTGTATCGCCGGGTGTTACCCAAAAAGAAAAAAAAAAAGAAAAACAAACAGAAAAAGTGTTTGGTAGATAAGAGGTCACTGTCCTTTAGCAAATGACCAGCTGCAGAGCCCTGGCGCTGACCTCCTGGAAGGGGCGGGGCGGGGCCGGGAGTTTCCGGTGGGCGTGGCCTGGGAAGGCGCCCCGCCCCCGCCCTCCGGGTGTGGGTTGGCCCAGGTACCTGGATGAAGTCTCTGGGCCAGCGGTGCACACAGAACTCTGCACCGGTGTCAGCTGTCCTAACCCACTCCTCACTGTGGGCACAGCGCCCCCTGTCCTAGAGCACGGAACCGCAGGATCCATCAGCCCCAGCAGAGACGGGCTGGCTCTGCGCGCCCCCTGCTGACGGATTCGCGAACGACATGCCCCCAAAACCACCCACCTCCCCAGCCCTGAGATCTGTCCCGCGTGGTTGCTGGGGGAGGGTCGGCCCCAGGCCTTCCAGCCTTCCCCGACATCGGACGTGGACCGCCAGTGGCTGCTCACGGCGCGTGTTCAGAAGGGACAACCTGTCCACTTGCCCCGGGATGAGGGGGTTTTCGGACGGGGGTGTTCCTTGCTAAGTCGGGGGAGAGCACTGTTCTTGGATGATACTGACCCCAGTTGGAACCCCAGCGTCTCATACGGACCCCCTGAGCCCCCCGCTAGCCGTGATCCCTGAGCGCAGAGCCAGGTGTGACCCCCAAACCAAGAACAAACTAAGATTTCATCTTTTCTAATTTTTGTTTTTGTTGATTTGTCTTTGGGCCCATAAAGTGCCCAGGAGCTATTCCTAGTCCAGTGCTCAGGAGTCATTTCCTGTGGTGCTGCGGGGGGGAGGGGGGTTCTTGCAGGGCACAGCACCTCCTGCCTGCTCCAGACCTTTGCCCTTCCAGCCCCTTGAACCGTATTCCCTTGTGTATATGCTCCACTTTACCCACTCACCTATCCTGGGGCTCTTAGGATACTCCCAGGTCTTCACCGGTATGGCGGTGGCTGCCTGGGCCTTTGCAAATGAGCATTTGTAAGTCCTTCAGATTCAGAGTCAGAAGCGGAGTCACCGGATCTCGTGGCAGTTCTGTTTTCTTTGCGGTTTAGGGAGGACCTTCCCCCTTTCCCACTCTGGCAGGGATCACTCCTATTCCCAGCCGTAGGCTGCCTGTGCCCACAGCCTGGCTTACACCTGCTGCTTCTTGCCTCTGGCTCCTGACTGTCCTCACAGTGTCCTTCCTTGTCCCCGAGGGCACCTTCCTTGTGGAGCTGGTGCCCAGTCCTCAGGGCAGCGTGTGCCAGCCCTCCTTCCTCTCCTGATCTGGGCGCTGGGGTCATAGCTTTAGCACAGAGGACAGCTGCCAAGGCAGAGAAGGGGCAGTCACGCTAGAAATGGGGTGAGTGGGGGGGCAGGGTGTCAGAGAGAAACAGCAGCTTCTGAACCAGAGGGTCAGCAGGTGACAGAAGGCTCGCAGGGGGAATTGGACCACCTGGACAAGTCCGCAGGACAGTGCAGCCAGGATAGGACCAGCCGGCTCTATTCAGTCACTCTGGGGCACCAGCCACCCCCATTTCCCAGGAGGGTCCCAGGTTAAATATTTGGGGAGAGGGTGGGCCACACCCAGGGGTGCTCAAGAACTACGCCTCGCTCTGTGCTCAGGGGTCACTTCCGGCATTGCTGGGAATCAAACTGGAGTTAGCCGCACGCAAGGCTTTAGCACGGAAGCCCCATCTCAAGAACCCTCTTCCCTGCCCTGGGCTGGGGCCTGGCCTCCAGTCCCCACTCCCTTGGGACGTGCCGTGTGGCTGTCCTGAGACACTGCTAACACAGCCCTGGTCCCTCCAAACTGCGGCCACCAGGTCTTGCTGCCGATTCCCCCATTCCTGATTCAGTGATAACATACCCCCCCCCACACACACACACACACAAGGGCTGAATTCCTTGAAACTGAATGATCGTCTTCATGGGGCCAGGAGCGCCCCCTAGTGTCTTATTGGAAAATTGATAGGCTGCCCCAAACAAAGTACCTTAAAGTGAGTGCTTTCTTTTCTTTTCTTTTTTTTTTTTTGCTTTTTTGGGGGGTCACACCCAGCAGTGCTCAGGGGTTACTCCTGGTTCTGCACTCAGGAGTTTTACTCCTGGCAGTGCTTTGAGGACCCTATGGGATGCCAGCGATTGAACCTGGGTTAGTTGCATGCAAGGCAAATGCCTCCCCCTGTACTATCGCTCTGGCCCCTTATTTGTTTCTTTTTGTTTCCTTTTTTTTTTCCCCAAGGGGACCGGAGTGTGGGGTGTGCTGGGGATTGGTCACACCAGGCTGTGCTCAGGGATAACTCCTGGCTCTGCTCTCACAGGTCACTCCTGGTGGGGCTCAGGGGACCACAGGCGATGCCAGAGGTCAGATGGGGTCAGCAGCACTCGGGGCCAGTGCCCAAATCTCCGTGCTCTCACCACAGCACCTCGTGGCGGCGCTCCCTGGGGCCCCACTCAGGCACGTGGGTGGTGCTGGGGGTCGCACTCGCAGCTTTGCCCACCCCAGACTCACAGGAAGGGAGGCTGGGAGGGAAACACTAAGGTATTTCACACCAGCCGTGTTTGTGGGGGGGAGGGGTTGAGCTACTCTCAGCTCAGTGCTCAGGGTTGTGCTTCATCAGGGTTGGGATCTGCGGTTCCCCCCATGCGGGAAACACCTTCCCGGCCCAGGCATCGTCTAGTCCGATGACTTTCCTGGTCTCCGTTTGCATTCTGCCCAGGCCCAGGCCAGGGGAACCTTCTGCCCGAGTCTCTGGACTTGCCCAGCTCCGCTGAGTGGGGCTTGGCATGGAGTAGCCCCTGGGGGCTGCACGCCCTCCTGTGTCCGAGGCGCGTCCAGGCTGGGCCTTGGCCGTGTGTCTGCTCCTGGCAGGCCGGGGTGGACCATCGCTCGTGGACACGTGGCTCACTCAGAGATCATGCGGTGTGTGTGCAGGTCTTGGTTTGTGGGTTTTTAAGTTTTGGACAAGCCTTGATTTGTCACATTTGCTCATTGGTGGGTCCCACAGGCAGTGCTCAGGGGTTACTCCTGGCTCTGTGCTCAGGAATCACTCATGGAGGGGCTCAGGGAGCCATGTAGGGTGCTGGTGATGGAACCACCGTGAACCTCCCGGCTGTGAGATGGCCCTCAGACACGCTTTTCCATGACTTTACCGTTTAATTGTTTCCATTCCTTCCCTTTCCTCTTCCTCCGTATAGTCTGTATAGTCTCGTATTGTCTCAGCGCTACTGTTTTTGTTTTGTTTTGTTTTGTTTTGTTTTTTTGCTTTTTTGGGTCACACCCAGCGATGCTCAAGGGTTCCTCCTGGCTCTGCACTCAGGAATTACTCCTAGCAGTGCTCAGGAGACCATATGGGATGCCGGGGATTGAACCCAGGTCGGCCCGTGCAAGGCAAATGCCCTGCCTGCTGTCCTATCATTCCGGCCTTGGCGCTGCTGTTGAGATTGGAGAGACACGTGGGCCCTGGGGCTCCCGCGTGGCCCGCTGTGTCGTCACCTGCACCTCAGACTGTGGCGCTCACAAAGGCAGCCGCATTGCTCACCCAGCTTTGCACTCGCCTAATGTGCTGGGGGGGTGGGTCAGCCGCGGGGGTGAGGTTCTCAAGCTGCAAGTGCTCACCCAGGACCAGACAGCAGAGCTCTCACCTCGCCCAGGTGGGCCATCAGGGATTTGAACTCGTAACCAGATGCTTTCAGAGCAGGCTGTTCCTTTCCTGACCCTGGACGGTCTGGGGCCCTTTCCTGTCTCCCCACCCCACCCCACCCCACCCCCACCCCCAGACCAGCTCGAAACCCTTCTGCCCCAGGCTGCACTGATTCCATCTCTTACCTCCAGGGTGCGCTCTACCCCTTTGCTCCCCGTGAGGTCAGCGGGCTCAGCCCAGGGTCTGCCCCAGTGACAACCACCCCCAAGCCAAGGGGGGCCCAGAATCGCCCACCAACACCTCTGACACTCTCAGCACTTAGGAAATTCCAAGGTGGAGGGGTGCGGGAAGCAGGAAACAGGTGTGAGGGGACTGGCCATCTACTGACCAGTGCAGACCCCCGATGTCTGCATGCAGCCTTTTTTATCTTCCATCAGTGCTGGATTGGGGGGGGGAGGGACGCGCAGGGGGTCAGTCTTCTGGGGCCGGGTGTGACCCGGGTGACCATTGTCATCTGGCCAAGCACAGGTCACATGAAGCCCTGCCCGGAGCCCAGTGACCGCTCGGTAAGTCCCGGCCTTTTCTGACCTCTTTGTCAGTGCCCATGGCGCTGGGTCGCTTTCTCAGGAGCGCCGCTGCCCTCCCTGGCCGCCTGGGGCAGCCCCTCCAGGGAAAGAAGGCTGGAGCCACTACCATCCGGTGCTTGCATCTAACTGTAAGTGCCCCTTGCTGGCTCGTGCTTGCTTGCTCACTCTCTCCCTCCCTCTCTCTCTCTCACTCACTCACTCACTCACGCCGTGCACGAGCCTCCTCTTCCAGGAAGACTTCCCTGGCTGCTGCGTGGCCCGAGCTCCCTGCTTCCGGGCTGAGATTGACAGCTTTGCATGAGCCTGGGCAGCCTGGTGACCTCCCCTCCCTGCCTGGCACACACCCCCCCACCCCCATCCACAGTAGGTCGCAGTGAGGAGTGCAGAAGTCCAGCCCCCCTGGAGGACTCGTGGACTCGGTGGCCGAGTCCTTGGAATTCTCTTCTGTGGGTAGCCCAAGGTTTTGAGGGGCTGTTGCTTCCGCTTTTCTCTCCTCCCTGGACTCCTTCAGATGCACTCATGTCCTCGACCCATGCTTGCTCACCCTCTCACTCACGCCATGCATGAGCCTTCTCTTCCAGGAAGACTTCCCTGGCTGCCGCGTGGACTGAGCTCCCTGCTTCTGGGCTGAGATTCTCTGCGCCCCTGGGCCCTTGACCCCATCCCACCCGAGCCCCCCGACAAACATGCCACTCGCCTCACCCCACCAGTCTCTCCCAGGCCCCCTCCCGCCTCGGTGCTCCTCTCATCAGCCCCGGGAGCTGAGAGGCTGGTTACCGGCTCTCAGCGCTGCAGACGGGATTCAGCCCCCCACCCCGAGCAAACACCCCCTGCCCCAAGCCACCCCACACACCCTGTCTCTGTTCAGAAACATGGAAATAGCACATGGACGAAATGAGAACACCTCTGAGCACACAGAGTTCAGGACAGAGATTTTTATGAAATGTCACTGTACCCCCCCCACACACACCAAATTAATCGTCATACCACCCACGGTGTTTTGTGCATTCTTTTTGTTTGTTTTTGCTTTTTGGGTCGCACTCAGTGATGCTCAGGGGTTACTCCTGGCTCTGCACTCAGGAATCAATCCTGGCTGTGCTCGGGAGATCATATGGGATGCTGAGAATTGAACCTGGGTTGGCTGCGTGCAAGGCAAACGCCATACCCACTGTGCTATCGCTCCAGCCCTGTTTTGTGGATTCTTGCTGGAATTAGATACCATATTGATAAATAGTGGGAGTTTGAGAGGGTTTTATTATTTTATTTTATTATTATTCTTTTTTGACTTCTTGGGTCACACATGGTGATGCACAGGGGTTACTCCTGGCTCTGCACTCAGAAATTATCCTGGCAGTGCTCAGGGAACCATATGGGATGCTGGGAGTTGAACCCGGGTCGGCCGCGTGCAAGGCAAACGCCCTACCTGCTGTACTATCACTCTGGCCCCAGTAAATAGCTTTGCAAAATCACATTTTTCTCCTGCATTTGTAACCATTAAGAACAGCAACAGGGGCTGGAGCAATAGCACAGCGGGTAAGCATTTGCCTTGCACACGGCCAACTCGGGTTTGATCCCCGGAATCCCAAATGGTTCCCTGAGCACTGCCAGAAGTGATTCCTGAGTGCAGAGCCAGGAGTGACCCCTGTGCATCGCTGGATGTGACCCCAAAAGAAAAAATAACCAGGTAGGGCATTTGCTTTGCACACGGCTGATCCAGATTCAACCCCCAGTATCCCATTGTGTTCCCTAAGCCCTCCAGGAGTGATCCCTGAGCACAGAACCAGGAGTCAGCCCTGAGCACAGAAACAGTATCAGCCTGGGGTGTGGCCCCAACACCCACCTACTCACCCACTCCACAACCAGCCAAATTAACTAATTTCCAAAAAACTTATTTGGGCCGGAGTGACAGTACAGAGGGGAGGGCTTTTGCCTTGCATGCAGCCGACCCAGGTTCGATTCCCAGCATCCCATAGGGTCCCCTGAGCACTGCCAGGAGTGATTCCTGAGTGCAGAGCCAGGAGTAACCCCTGAGCATTGCCGGGTGGGGCCCAAAAAGAAAACAAACAAACAAACGAAAAATCTTAGTTTGGAAAACTGAGATTAAAATGAAGAATAAGATTATCTGCTAATCAACAAACCCAATTTTTTTCCCGCTGACCAGCAGCTTGGTGACGGCCAGGCTTTCCGGCAGGGGTCCCTCCAAGGACCAGGACCATGTTTGGGGCCAGGGAAGGGGCTCAGATGTGTGGGACCCTGGGCTGGAATCCAGGCAACGCCCAACAGGGGAAGGGGACACTTCACAAAAACTGAAATGCCGGGGCCGGGGCTGGCTGTCCCCCAAGGCCGTTTTGGAAGCGAAAGTGCATTGGTGGCAACTGGGGTGCCAGGCCCTGCCCCAGGGCCAGCCCCCGGGCTGTAGGAATGGGGTCCCCCCAGCTGCACCCCCTGGCTGTCCCCTGCAGTCCTGCTCCCCGCTGGCCCGGCATAGCCCACCCCGGAGCCTCTGTCGGGGCACTGGGTCCCCACCCACACGGGACCAGGACATGCAGGGAACCCCAAGAGGCCACATAAGAGTGATGGGGGGAGCTGGGGGCGACACAGTGGGAGTGGGGGTCGGCAGTAGGGCCCCTGAGCCCCTGGGCGGGCGACCTGCAGGTCCCCCAAGTCAGGACCCGCCCCAAGTCAGCCCGACCACACTTGCGGGTGTGGGGGTCAGTGAATGTGGCCCACCCAGCCCACACTTTCCGCCCTCTTCCTCCTCGTTCTCATCCATGAAATGAGCCCATGTAGGTGTCCTGAGCCCCCAGCCGCTGTCCACAGCCCCCCCTAGGCCCGCTAGCCCCAGTCCCTACCATTGCTTCCACAAGTCCAGCCCTTCCCGGTTCAATTTCTCCCAGGTGGGGGCTGAAGCGATAAATAGCACAGCGGGGAGGGCGTTTGCCTTGTGCGCTGCTGACCCAGGTTCGATTCCCAGCATCCCGTAGGGTCCCCCGAGCACTGCCAGGAGTAATTCCTGAGTGCAGAGCCAGGAGTAACCCCTGTGCACCGCTGGGTGTGACCCAAAAACAACAACAACAAAAAAACTATTAAAATAAATAAATTTCTCCCAGGAGGTGGGAGCAGGGAGCGCACCCCTCCATCCCCTCCCTCACCCCCACCCCAGGGAGTGGCAGCCTCGGGCTGAGAGCCGACACCCCCCACTCCCCTGCAGCTGCCCCTCCAAGGCCCTGATCGTTCTCCTCCTGTTTCCAGCTCGCCATGGCCAGGCAGCTACAGGCTCGAAGGTTGAAGGGCATCGACCACAACCCCTGGTGAGTGGGTCTGCGGGGTGCCCTTAAGGTGGGCCGGGGCTGGCCCAGCTGCCCTCCATATGCCGGGGCTTGAATCCCAGCTCCCCTGGCTTGGCAGCGGCCCTGGGCACGGAGCTGGACTGTCTGGCCGCAGGAGAGAGAGAGGACAGCGGGGAGGGCACTTGCCTGGCATGCGGTCAGGCTGGGCTCGATGCCCAGCTCCACCTAAGGCCCCACCAGAGCCCCTCCAGGACTGGCACCTGAGCACAGAGCCAGGAGTCTGCCCTGAGCACGACCTGGTGTGACCCCCCACACACACACACAACAAGAGAATGAAAAGGCCACTGCCCACCCCGCTGCCCACGGGGGCCCTGGAGCACAGGCCTGATGTGAGACCCCGGGCTCTGGCCTCGTCACCCCGCCCCGGGACCCCCCTCAAAGGCACGATGCTCTCTGGTCACTTGCCACGCTCATGGCTGACTCTGTGCTGTGGGGACACTCCAGGCTTCCCTGCGGCCGGGACGAGGAGAGGGGCAGTGGCGTGGACACGAGCGCCCATGTGGAGTGGACAAATGTGGTCGTGGAGTTTTATTGCTTGTGTGGTTTGGGTCTGGGGGCCACCCTCGGCTGTGCTCAGGGATCACTCCCGGCGGTACAGGGGACCATCCAGGGATGGCACCTTCGTCGGCCGTGCCCCATGTCCGGTGTTTCTAGAAGGAGCCGGGACCTTCTGCGCCTTGACAAAGCCCAGGCAGCAGGGGTGTAGGGTGGCCAATTGTTCCTGTCCCGGGGTGGGTACACCCAGCAAGCCCGTGACTGTCCCTGTCCCAGGTGGGTACACCCGGCAGGCCCTCGACTGTGTTTGTCCCGGGTGGGTACACCCAGTAGGGCCCCAACTGTCCCCATCCACAGGGTCGAGTACACCCAGTTGGCCGCCGAGCATGATGTCGTGAACTTGGGCCAAGGGTTCCCGGACTTCGCGCCCCCGGACTTCGCGGTGGAGGCGTTCCGCTGCGCCGTCACTGAGGACTTCATGCTCAACCAGTACACCAAGGCCTTTGTGAGTCCCGTGCTCAGCTGGGATTGGGTGGGGGGGGGACACACGGTCCAGCTGCTATCAGGGATCAAGGGTCAACTCGAGGCATTCAGTCTGGCAGGGTTCACTGGACACCTGTGATCCAAGGCTGAGAAGTGGTCACAGTCTGGGCCGGGACTAACAGACGTGAGGGCAAACACCCTCCCCACTGTGCTGTCACTCCAGCCCCACCTTAAGTTTTTTTTTCTGTTTTTTAACCAGTTTGAAGTTTATTGAGGAATCTTTGCTTAATAATTTGGAGACTAGAAGAAAAAAGTGCCTGATAAAGTCCTACCTTGACTTTGTATTTTTCTTTTTTCTTTTTCCTCTTTTAACTTTTTTTTTTTTTTTTTTTTTTTTGCCTTTTGGGTCACACCTGGCGATGCTCAGAGGTCACTCCTGTCTCTGCACTCAGGAACTACTCCTGGTGGTGCTTGGGGGACCATATGAGATGCTGGGGATTGAACCCGGGTCGACTGCGTGCAAGGCAAACACCCTACCCGCTGTGCTACTGCTCCAGCCCTCCTTCCCTCTTTTAACTTTTAAAGATGCTCGTGGGCCTGGAGAGACCCTGCAAAGTCCAACTCTGGGTCAATCTCTGCGGCTCTTTATGGTGCTGCCAGAGGTGACCCCCCCCCCCCAAAACAAACTGAAATAAAAAGGCTCGTGATGCAGGGTCAGACCAATAGTAGAGCAGTTAGGGTGTTTTCCCAGCACCCCCGCTGTCCCCCAAGCACCACCGGAAGTAATTCCTGAGTGCAGAGCCAGGAGTCAGCCCCTGAGCATCCCCAGGTGTGGCCCCCACACAACACAGAAGTTAAGATGTTTCTGGAAGCGTGCTTATGTGGGCTGGGGTGATAGCATAGCGGGTAGGGAATTTGCCTTGCACGCGGCTGACCTGGGTTCGATTCCCAGCATCCTGTATGGTTCCTCGAGCACTGCCAGGGGTAATTCCTGAGTGCATGAGCCAGGAGTAACCTCTGAGCATTGCCAGGTATGACCCAAAAAGCAAAAAAAAAAAAGTGGAAGAACTGGAAGCATGCTTCTGAGCCTGCGGGTGAGACTTGCATTGTTATCACACAAAGCTCTACTTTTCCCTTCCTTGACTGATTCTCCGATGACACAGAAGTCACACCCCCACCCTACTGACTTCTCTCCTGGTCAGACCTGCCCGGGCGAGACGGGAGCCGTGGCACAGTGGCCGTGGCATTTGCCTTGCACATGACAGACCCGGCTTCCATCCCCAGCATCCCACACGGTCCCTCGAGCCCCGCCAGGAGTGATCCCTGAGATCAGAGCCAGGAGTCTGCCCTGAACACTGCCGTTTGAGGCTCACCCTCTCCCCGCCAACAAAGAAAAAGATTTTAATTTTGTCTGTGGTTCGGACTAGCTTCGGGCGTTCTTTACCGAGTGCAGACCTTCAGACCAGGGTACCTGGCTCAAGCCTGGAGCTGTCATCAGTCTGCGGCAAAGAAGGACTCATCCCCCCTTGCACGCGGACTGTGCTCACAGCTGCACCAGGAAGTCTGTTCCTGGAGCGAGCCCCCTGTGGCGCCCTCTTTCCTGGGCACCTGGTTTTCTGGTTTTCTGCCTGTCCCATGATAGGGTTCCAGGAACAAGGAGGAGCCATGGGCATCATCTTCCTAGCAGGACCCGCGGAGGGGGGGTGTGTGTGGAGGGGGCAGCCAGAAAGTGCTACTGCGCCCCCTGCTGGCCGTGCCGCAGCTCAGCCAATGTGTGTCCCCCCCCCCCCCCACTCCCAGGGCTACCCCCCTCTGACCAAGGTGCTGGCACGTTTCTTTGGGAAGCTGCTCGGCCAGGACCTGGACCCACAGAGCAACGTGCTGGTGACCGTGGGGGCCTACGGCGCCCTGTTCACGTCCTTCCAGGCCTTAGTGGACGAAGGCGACGAGGTGAGCCAGGCAGGGGCGGCCGGGGTGGGATGGGGGGGAGGCAGGGGGCTGCCGAGCCCCCACTCATGGGCCTGTCCCCAGGTCATCCTCCTGGAGCCCTTCTTCGACTGTTACGAGCCCATGACGCTCATGGCGGGGGGCCGCCCCGTGTTCGTGCCTCTCAGGCCGGTGAGTGAGGACGGTGGCGGGGGTGCCCCATGCGGGGGGCACGGAGGGCGGCAGCCCCCTGAGTGCGGGCGTTTCCCCCGTGCCTCCTCTGCTCACAGAGCCCCACCCCGGACGGCGCCCCGGCCTCGAGCAGCAACTGGAAGCTGGACCCGGCCGAGCTGGCCAGCAAGTTCAGCCCCCGCACCAAGGCCCTGGTCCTCAACACGCCCAACAATCCCCTGGGAAAGGTACCGGGGAGCCCCGACCTGGGGGGTCCGTCCGCCTGCAGCTTCTGAGCTCCCTGTTGTTGCTGCCTGTTACACCTCGGGGGCTTCTCTGCCGAGTGGGAAGGACTAGCCAGGCCCCAAAGCTCCAGGGCACCCCGGGGCTGTACAGCCCCTGCTCAGTGTTGTCTCCTCTGGGAATCAGAGACGGGGTTGGGGGTGAAGAGGGGACCACTAGTGTGGACACTCACAGACACTTTGAGGGGAGGAATCATAATCTTTTTTTTTTTTTTTTGCTTTTTGGGTCACACCCAGCGATGGTCTGGGGTTCCTCCTGACTCTGCACTCAGGAATTACTTCTGGGGATACTCAGGGGACCCTAAGGGATGCCGGGGATCAAACCTGGGCCAGCCGTGTGCAAGGCCAACACCCTCCCCGCTGGACTATCGCCCCGGCCCCTGGGGGATGGTCATGATGGGTCATGATGTTAAATACTGTGATCCCCATATTACTTCACTGTCACTGTCACTGTCCTCCCGTTGTTCATCAATTTTCTCAAGCGGGCCCAGTAACGTCTCCATTTTGAGACTTGTTACTGTGTTTGGCATATCGAATATGTCATGGTAGCTTGTCAGGCTTTGCCGTGCAGGCGAGATACTCTCAGTAGCTTGCTGGACTCTCTGAGAGGGGCAGAGGAATCGAACCCGGTTCGGCCTTAAACTATAATTAAAACAATTTTTTTTTTAAATATAGGCCAGAGAGCGAGCCCAGGGGTGGAGGCCCTTGCTTGCCTCCCACAGACTCTGGCTCAAATCTTGACCCCACCTGTGGCGCCCTGAGCAGCGCCCAGGGTCACTCCTGAGCGTCCAGCCCAGGACTAGCCCCTGAGCACTGCAGGCCGAGACCCAGATCCCAAATAAATAAACTGAAGCGGACAGGCGGGCGTGTGTGAGGTCAGACCTCGCCTGCCACTGTGCCTTCTCCTGTGCTTATGATGACGGGGGTCCCCCTCACCGGGCCACCCTGCCCCGACTCGACACCCCACCACCTTAGGCTTGTAGGCCTGCCGCAGTGTCTGCCCAGGACAGCACCTGTGCCCGCAAGTTGTCCCACTGGGTATCCCATTTCTTGCTTCCAGTGCCAGGCCAGTGCTCATGAGCCCCTGACCTGCCCTTCAACCCATGGGATTCCCATGGCCCCCCTCCCCAAACCCGCCCAATCCTCCCCCCAGCTCCCACTCGGGTATGACACATCAGCTCCCAACTCAGAGGCAGAATGGGCCTGGGGACCCAGGGCTGAGGGGGGACCCAGGGCAAGGCCTGCGGGGTGAGGGTTGCCCAGAAGCACAAGCTTTTGCCCTTGAGGTTTTATTTGTTTGGGTTTTTTTGGGGGTGGGGCTACCCCCAGCAATGCTCGGGGCTTGCTCCTGGCTCTGCACTCAGGAATCACTCCTGGTAGGCTCAGGGGGCCTCTGGGATTCCGGATCCCAGGGATCGAACCTGGTTTGGCCAAAGCCAAAGCAGGTGAACGTCCTGCCCACTGTACTACCCCTCCAGCCTGCTTCCATCCTCAGGGACTTGAGGTGCATCACCCTCCCTATACTGACAAACTCGCCTGCTGGGAAGCTCTCCAAGCCCCCTGCCCCCCGGGGTTTCCATGGGGGCTCCCTGTGCGGCCCGGCTATCCTTCAGTCCATTTCCTGGAAGGGGTGAAGGGGGGAGCCCCACCGGCCAGGGGTCATTCCTGAGCACTGCTAGGTATGCCTGCTCCTGGCCCTCAGGGATTCAGCGAGGAGGGGCATCTCCTCTGACCCCGGCCCCCCTGGGGGGTCCCGCAGGTGTTCTCCAGGGCTGAACTGGAGCAGGTGGCCAGCCTGTGCCAGCAGCACGATGTCATTTGCATCTCGGACGAGGTCTACCAGTGGCTGGTCTTTGACGGGTGTCAGCACGTGAGCATCGGTGAGCCCCTGGTGCCCCCTCCCTCCCTGACCTCCCCACAGCCTGAGCAGGGCGCTATGGGCTGCACACACACACTGGCGACTGGCAAACCGCGCTGCAGGGGCGGCCGGCGACCAGGGGAGATGAGGCTGAGATGCAGCCAGCTCTGTGAGTAGCTTAGAGGGGAGCAGAGGCTGGAGCCCAGGCGCCCCAGGGGTTCTATCCCTGGCACCTCAGAAAGGATAAAGGAGAGCAGAGTGCCTCGCCTCCCCTCCCGCCCCCCGCCCTGGTCTCCTCACCTGTCAGCAGCTGTCTCTTTGGCCTTGGACAGCCAGCCTCCCTGGCATGTGGGAGCGCACCTTGACCATCGGGAGCGCGGGCAAGACCTTCAGTGCCACAGGCTGGAAGGTGAGTCCGCGGGGACGGCGGCCAGCACCCCCCACCACAGCGGGAACTGGCCGAAGGAGCAGAGTCTCAACCCAGCTTTGTTCGCGGCGCAGGTGGGCTGGGTCCTGGGCCCCGATCACCTCCTGAAGCACCTGCGCACAGTGCACCAGAACTCTGTCTACCACTGCCCCACGCAAGCCCAGGTGAAGAGGGCGGGGCTCCGCGTGGGGGCGGGCCACCGTCCAGGGAGGGCGGGGCTCCACGTGAGGCGGGGCCACAGCCTGAGGGGCGGGGCTCCACATGGGGCGGGGCCACAGCCAGGGGGCGGGGCCCACGTGGGGCAGGGCTCCATATGGGGCGGGCCATAGCCTGAGGGGCGGGGCACCACGTAGGGCGGGGCCATAGTCTGAGGGGCGGAGCTCTGCGTGGGGGCGGGTCACTGCCCAGGGAGGGCGGGTCTCCGCGCGGGGCGGGGCCACAGCCTGAGGGGCGGGGTTCCACATGGGGCGGGACCACCGCCCAAGGAGGGTGGGGCTCCACGTGGGGGCGTGGCCACAACCTGAGAGGCGGGGCTCCGTGTGGGGAGGCGGGGCTCCATATGGGCCAGGACCACAGCCTGAGGGGCGGGGCTCCGAGTGGGGGCGGGGCCACAGCCCGGCTCTGCCCTGAGCTGGTGGCCTCTGTCCTCCCCCAGGCGGCGGTAGCCCAGAGCTTCGAGCGGGAACTGCAGCACTTTGGCCAACCCAGCAGCTACTTCTCGAGCTTCCCTCAGTCCGTCCAGCGCAGCAGGGACTACATGATGCGCAGCCTGCAGTCCGTGGGCCTGCGGCCGGTCATTTCCCAGGGCAGCTACTTCCTGGTCATAGACATCTCCGACTTCAGTGAGTGGGGTGGCCCTGCTGGCCACTGGCCGAGGGGGACAGGCGTGGGAGCTTCCTGAAGCACAGCCTGCTCTCTGTCCCCCAGAGAAGAAGATGCCCGATTTGCCCGGTGCCCCAGATGAACCCTACGACCGTCGGTTTGTTAAATGGATGATCAGGAACAAGGTGTGCGGGCCCTCGCAGGGTGTGTGCGGTTGTACAGGCTGTGCACTGCTCAGGGGTGCCAGGGGGCTGCCAAAGGCAGACCAGCTTCTGCCACAAACCCTGAATTGGGACCTAATCTCATGGTGCTAGGGATCATTCGGAGCTGGCCATTGGATGCGTGCAAAGCATGATCTACCTGCCTTTGAGCCATCTCCCCAGTCCGGGAAGCCCACTTCTTTTCTTTTCTTTTTTTCTGATTCTCCCCCCCCACCCCGCTTTTTTTGCTGTGTTGGGGGCTCACTTAGCTGATTCCAAGACTTACTCCTGGCTTTGTGCTCAGGGACCCCTCCTGTTAGTGCTCAGGGGACAATGTGTGGTGCTAGAGATTGAACCCCTTGCATGCAGCAAGAGCCTTGTCTGCTCTCCCCCACCCTCCTTCTCCCTCCCCCCCCATACACACACACACACACACACACACACACACACGGAGTCTATTTTCAAAATGTTCAAAGATGCCATTTGGACTGGTAGGAATTCCTGCCTGCCAGATCCTCAGATTTCCCATCTGAACAGTGGGTGTTGGCCCACCAACTCTGAGGCCCATGCAGCTCGGGCCTGGGGTACTGTGCAGTCCTGTGTCCCCCCCCTCCCCCCCCGCCCCGGCCTCCCTCTGCACCCTCGTGTCCCCATGGAGGGCCTGGGAAGGATGTCCTGGGTGTTCTCTCTTGTCCAGGCCCCAGTGCCCAGTCTGGGTGTGCCCACCTGCTGCCCCCACCCTTGGCCATTGTGGCCTCCCTCTGCCCACGCTGAGCCCCGCGTCCTCCGCAGGGCTTGGCTGCCATTCCTGTGTCCATCTTCTTCAGCCTGCCCCATCAGAAGGACTTTGACTACTTAGTCCGCTTCTGCTTTGTGAAGGTAATATCAGTGGAAGGTGGGGGCTGTCTGAGCTTCCCCAGGCCCCTGGGTAGGAGGGAGGCCTCGGCTGTCTGTGTCCCTGCAGAATGAGTCCACGCTGAAGGCCATGGACGAGAGGCTGCGTTCGTGGCAGAACCCCCAGGCCTGACCCCGCGCCGGTGGATCCTTCACCCCCATCTCAGCCACCCCCAGGAGTTGAGTCCCAGCAAGCGGGGAAGTCGGGGGGTCCCCTCTCCATGCTGACAGTCCTGTGTTACAGGGGAGGTGGCGGGGGTCTCCATGATCTGTGACCCAGGTCTCTGCCCCCATGACCTCTTGTGACCTCCCCAGCCCACCCAGACTTGGCTGGGGACCTGAAGGAGGCGCATCTGAGTGGATTCAGTTCCTTACTCGCCTTACTGTGAGAGTTGCAGGTGCTCCTCACTGATAATAAAGTTTAAATTATTCAGACACTGGGGCTCTTGCTGCCGGGGACCTGGTCCAGAGTGGGTGCCGCTCAGTTCCCCATGAGCTCCAGTAGGTTAAGGCTGCCAGGTATGTGTGCGTTGACTTAGGTGATAGGGAAACTGTGTGTGTGTGTGTGTGTGTTGTTGGATTTATTTGGGGGTTGTTGTTTATGTTTGGGTTGGGTTGGTTTTGGGGGCCATACTCAGGGGACTGTGCTCAGGAGACCCAATGGGATGCCAGGGATCGAACCCGGGTTGAACGCATGCAAGGCAAACTCCCTACTCGCTGTACTATAGCTCTGTCCACCCTCCCCCACCATTATTTATCTATTTTTTGCTTTTTGGGTCACACCCAGAGATGCTCAGGGGTTACTCCTGGCTCATGCACTCAGGAATTGCTCCTGGAGGTGCTCGGAGGACCATATGGGATGCTGGGAATCGAACCTGTGTCGGCCATGTTGGCTGCATGCAAGGCAGACGCCCTACCCGCTGTGCTATCGCTCCAGCCCCCCCGCCATTTTTTTTAAGTACAAAATTTTTATTTAGAAGAATGGAGAAGGAGCAAGTCCCACAAAGTAAGGAAGGGATATTATAAAATCTTGCTGGCTGTGAGCAGTTCTAGAATGAAATGCCTGGTGTTAAGTCTTTTTGGATTTTTTGTTTGTTTGGGGGCCACCAGGGCTACATGGGGCCATGCTAGGGAGACCACGAAGTGCCAGTGGCCAGACTCAGGGCCTCGTATATGCAGGGCAAATGTCATGTTGCTGAGCCCCATCCTCCAGCATCTTAACATTTGGGGGCCATAACCTGTGTGCTTAAAGCTATTCCTAGCCATCTTTGGAGGGCCAAGTAGTGCTTAGCAGCAAACTGGCCTCTCAGTGAACCCGTTGAGCTATGTCCTGCCTCGCTGATGTGTAATTTTTTTTTTCTTTTTGGATCAGACCCGGCAAGGCACAGGGGTTAATCCTGGCTCTGCACTCAGGAGTTACTCCTGGTGGTGCTTGGGAGACCCTATGGGATGCTGGGAATCGAACCCAGGTCGGCTTTGTGCAAGGCAAATGCTCTACCTGCTATGCTATCGCTCCAGTCCCGCCGCCCCATGTGTAATTTTAAAGATCTCATGTATTGGGGCTGGAGCGATAGCACAGCGGGTAGGGCGTTTGCCTTGCACGCGACCAACATGGCCGACCCGAGTTCGATTCCTCCGCCCCTCTCGGAGAGCCCAGCAAGCTACTGAGAGTATTGGATATGCCAGACACAGTAACAACAAAGTCTCCAATGGAGATGTTACTGGGCCCGCTCGAGCAAATCGAAGATCAACGGGAGGGCCATGTATTGGGTTGACTAACAATTCATGCATCTAGCCTGTCTAGCAAGCCGAAAGGCAGCCGCTAGAGACATGTGCCAAACAGAAGGCACATGTCTTTTTGATAGCCCGAGAAGAGTGTGGGACAGAGAGAGATTGATAGCACAGTAGGGAGGGTACTTTCCTGGCTCGTGGCTGACCTAGGTTTGTTTCCCAGCACCCCAGATGGTTCCCAAACACTGCCAGGAACAATCCCTGAGCACAGAGCCAAGAGTAAGCCCTGAGTGCCACTGGGTGTGGTCAAAAAATAAAAAGAGACAAAGTTATGGGGCCGGAGAGATAGCACAGTGGGGAGGGCGCTGGCCTTGCATGCAGCCCACCTGGGTTTGATCCTGGGCATCACATCTGAGCACTGTCAGGAGTGATTCCTGAGTACGTCTGCAAAGCAAGCATGTGCATTTTGCTGATATCATTTATTGAATTGGGGGAGTTGATGGGAACATGGGGTGTAATGAAATATAACTTGGGGAGCCAGAGCACTAGCATAGCGGGTAGGGCACCTGCCTTGCACAGAGCCAACTTGGGTTCGATCCCTGGCTCTCCATAGGGTCCCCCTAGCCCTCCCAAGAGTGATCTCTGAGCTCAGAGCCTAGAGTTAAGTCCTGAGTACCACTGGGCATGGCCTCAAAACCAAACTAATAATAATTATTATCATTATTACTATTATTATTATTATTGTGAGGTTTGCTCGGAGCCTAAGGGCAGCTACTGATGAGCTAGTAGCTCATTCCCAGAATCAAAGCTCTCCCTGCCCCACAGCTCAGAAGTCAGGATTTATGGCCTGTCTGGCGACAGGAAGCCACCAGGCTGCATTCCACGTGCCCTCACATCCATCCCTGCAGGTAACAGAAGGCCAGACCCAGCACACCGGCCCACCAGTCTCTGTTCCCTTTTCCCACCCAAGACAACTTAAAATCCCGCTCAGCGTCTCCCAGGGTGAGGCTGTACCCCAGCCTCGTCAGAGGTCAGAGGTTGTAGGGTCCATCCCATAGCACGGACAAGCTTCTCCTATTCCTTCCCTTTAACTTGTCTCTGTCCCTCGGTCTGGCCAGATGAGGTCTCTCACCTGTCAAGAAGAATAATAGCCAACCTAGATCTGCTCCCAACTCGGGTTGGTGACTCAGCAGATCTTTGCCTGAGTGACCTGACCAGCCAAACTGAGACAGGAGACAGGAGACTTGGCAGGCATCTGATGGGGCCTCAGATGCAGGAGAGATGGGGGAAGTGAACCACCTCCAGGAAGACAGCATGCCTGCCCTTAGGAATTGATCTCTGCTGGATTGGGAGCTCCAGAATAGCATCTTCTATCACCCCTCTGGTCCCTGGCGCCCGATGCTGGCAGTTTGGCTCCAAATAGATACTTCTCAATAAATACCTATTGATTGAATAAATATTGCCTCAACTCATTAATTTACCAAGCGAAGCATCTCTTATTCACTGCTGGCAGGCATGCAAAACTTAATAACCACTTTGGAAGCCGTTTGGGCAATTCCTTACGGAGACAAACACTGCCTTAGTGAGCTGTCTCCTGTCTACCCAACTGAAAGGTATGGGCTGAAAATTCCTGTCCGTACAAAAGCCTGACCATGAATGTCTCTAGCAAATTGATTCACAATTGTCCAACGCTGGAAGTGATCGAATGTCCTTTAAAAGGTGAATGGTGGGCCGGAGTGATAGTACAGCGGGTAGGGCATTTGCCTTGCATGCCTCGAGCAGGCCCCAGTAACGTCTCCTTCATCCTGGCCCTGAGGTTATATTCAAGGCTCTTTAGGAGAATGAGACCCATTATTGTTACTGGTATTTGGCATATTGGGTATGCCACGGGGAGTTTGCCAGACTCTGCCGTGTGGGCAGGCTACATTTGGTAGCCTGCCAGTTTGTCAAAGTAGGAATGAGATGTCATAATAAGATGGTTCTGGGAGCTGGTTTTTATAGTCTCAGAGTCTTGGCCGCTGATGGGATTACACGGCGCCAGGGGGCCAGTTGGTGGGTGTGACCCCCGCCTACTGGAATTTGGAGGATCTGGGTGGAGGATGCTCGACTCCAATCCGAGTAGGCTTGGAGATCTCGGCCCCGGAACCCACGTGGCTTTGTCCCTCTGCCGGTACCTTCAGGTGTGCGGAGATTGGTCTCAGCATGGTGGTGGCTGGTCCTGGAGGTCTTCGGCTGCCGGGGCCCTGGTCAGGGCGGGGAGGAAAGCTCAACCCGCTCCCCTCCAAGTGCCCCGGCGAGGAATAGCGAGGCGCGGGGACAGGAGACTGCACTCTTTTCCTCCAGGAGCTGGTTTTTATAGTCTCAGAGTCTTGGCCGCTGATGGGATTACACGGCGCCAGGGGGCCAGTTGGTGGGTGTGACCCCTGCCTACTGGAATTTGGACCCAAAAAGCAAAAAATAATAAAAGTGAATGGTGAGACCCCAGGGGTAGCGCTGCGACTCAGAGCACCTGTGTTGTCAATGAGAGGCCACGAGTTCAACCCCCATTCCTGCTGTGTGCCCCCAGATCTCCCCAGCGCCGTAGGAGATTTCCAGGCCTCTGGAGGCATCACAACTAAAGTGTGAGGCCCCTAAAAGCTATGCAAGCACCTGCGCCAGGAAATGTGACCCCTGGGGCCAGCACCGCCACCCCCAATGGACACTCAAAGCAGATAATGTGTGAGCATCATAGCTAGAGAGACCCCCCAACAGACACATGTGCAAGGAGTGATGAATAGGGGGACTAATGCTCCAGTACCACCGCCAGACATCTTTGACAGCAATGAAGGGGACCGGGGGGTGGCTTGAGAGCTTGAGCACAGGCTTTGCATGTGGGAGCCTTGGTTCAGTCCCCAACACCACACAGTCTCCCTCCATTACCAGGCGTGGCCCCTGAGCACTGCACTGCAAGCAATGGCGGGTGGGCCCTCCAAAAAAGGTGGAGGGAGAGGTCCCAAGGTAGCTCAGGGGAAGAACGCCTGCCGCAGAAATAAGAGGTTTTAGGGCCGGAGAAGGAACCAGGGTGGAGGCCCTTGTCTTGTATGCTGCAGACCCCAGTTCGATCCCTGGCACCTAATAGGGACCCCCCAGCAAGCATGGACAGGAGTAAGTCCTGAGTACAGTTGGCTGAGCACAGTGGGGTGTGCCCCCTTCCAAAAATAAAAAAGTAAGTGAGGAATTCTTCTCCAGAGACCCCATAATCTGGGTGCTTCTCTTTCCTCTCCCTTCGCTTCCCTTCCCTTAAAGCCTTTTCTGAATACAGGGCTGGGGGAGGGAGAATAAATGAATAATTCTATAAAAGAATAGGAGTAGGGGCTGGAGCAATAGCACAGCGGGTGGGGCGTTTGCCTTGCATATGGCTGACCCAGGTTGGGTTCCCAGCATCCCATATGGTCCCTTGAGCACCGCCAGGAGTAATTCCTGAGTGCATGAGCCAGGAGTAACCCCTGTGTGTCGCCGGGTGTGACCCCCCCCCCAAAAAAAAAGCAAAAAAAAAAAAAGAATAGGATTAGGGGCCAGAGAGATAGTACAACAGCAGGAGCACATGCCTTGCATGTGGCCCACCCAGATTCTATCCCCAGTACCACATACAGTCCCCTGAGTCCTGCCAGGAGAGATCTCTGAGCTACAGAACCAGGAAAATGCTCTGAGCAGTAGCAGTATGGCTTAAAAAACAAAACACAAAGAATAGGATTATGTAAACTTCAAGCTTCTTTGTTTGGTTTGGTCTGTGGCTACTCCCAGCTGCTTGGATCAAGCCCAGCTCTTGGGTATGCAAAGCCTTTTTACAGGCCCTTTGAGAAACCTCTCAGCCATGATTCCAGCATTTTGGAGTGCCCATACCCAGAAGTTCTCAGGAGAGCTACTACTACTGGCTCTGTGCTAACGGGTCTCTCCTGGTAGTGCTCTGGGGATAATATACAGTGCCTGAATTTGAACAGTGTTAGGACACAGCCTCATGTAAGGCAAGAACCTTAACCTCTGTGCTGTCTCTCCAGCCACAACCTCTCAAGCTTTGTAAAACATTATTATTATTATTATTATTATTCGTTTTGTTCTTTAAAGCCACACCTGGTGGTGTTCAGGGCATACTCACGACCATAGGGGATTCTGAGGATCAAACCTGGGTCAACTGTGTATAAAGCAAACACCCTGCCTGCTGTCCCATCTCCCCAGCCCCTAAAACACCCTAAAACACTATGTTCATAAAAATAAGGGTATTTGGGGCAAGAGTGATAGATAGTACAGAGCATACATAGGTAGGGTGTTTGCCTTGCGTAGAGGTGACCCTGGTTCAACCCCTGGCATCCCATGTGGCCCCCGACAACCATGGGGGTGTATGAAATCATGCTCTGAGATTTAGCGTTTTTTTTTTTTGGCGGGAGCGGGGGTTGGTTTTTTGGGTCAATGCACAGGGGTTACTCCTGGCTCTGCACTCAGGAATTACTCCTGGTGGTAGCTCAGGGGACCATATGGGATGCTGGGAATCGAACCCCGGCCGGCCACGTGCAAGGCAAACGCCCTATCCGCTGTGCTATCAGTTCAGCCCCAATTTAGCGTCTTAAGACCTGTTTGCGTGTGCTTTCGTGTTTGCTGTGCTCAGAGTCACTCGTGGCTTTGAGCCTCGGGGTCACTGCTGACTGTAGGGCTCGAACCCAGGCCCAGCCAGCTGGGCCGCCTGCAAGGCAAGCACCTTGGCCTCTAGACTGCCTGGGGTAAGCCGCCCTCGCAGCCACAGCCAGTCGGGAGCTTCTCGCTGCAACCCTCCCGCCTCGGTGTCTAGGCCACGCCCCCAGACTCTTAGGGGCTCGCCTATTGGGCGGTCCTGAAGGGGGGCGTGACCGGAAGCGCTGTCTGATTGGTGGGCGGGGCCGACTGGGGCCAACATGGCGGAGCGCGCTGGGAAGCGGCCGTGCGGTCCGGTAGGTGGGCGCCGCGGGTTCCCCCCCCACCCCCACCCCCGAGCCGGCCCCGCACGTTCGGCAGGACCCGATTCCTGGCGGGTCCGCACGCCCCCTCCCGCTCCTCCCGAGCCCGGTGGCGCTGGCGGTGGGCGCCGCGCGGGGAAGCCCCAGCGCGCCTCGGGGTTGTGCGGCCGGAGCCGGCTGGAGGGTCCCGCCGCCCGCAGCCCCCGAGGCCTTCCCGGCCCCAGGGGCCACCCGGGCACCTGTGCCTCCTTCTCTTCTCCCCGTGGAGGGGCGGCAGGCCGCTTCAGGGCTGGCGGATGGGAGAGGGGCTACAGCGGGTAAAGCAAGCACGCGCGGGGCTTGCTTGCAACGTGCTCCGCCCAGGGTCCCCCGGGCCCCGCCTTGCCTGAGTGATCGCCGAGCACCATTGGATGTGACACCCCCCCCCGCAAAAAATAAAATGAAATCAAATAGTAAGAGCCCAACAGTTGGGCTGGAGCAATAGCACAGCGGGGAGGGCGTCTGCCTTGCACGCGGTCAACCCGGGTTCGATTCCCAGCATCCCATGTGGTCCCCTGAGCACCGCCAGGAGTAACGCCTGAGTTCAGAGCCAGGAGTAACCCCTGTGCATCGCCGGGTGTGACCCAAAATTCAAAAAAAGAAAAAAAGCCCAACAGTTAGCTTTACTCTTCAGTACTCCCTCTCTAGACCAGCATCGTTCAGCACCTTAGGGTAATGGGTGGGTGGGGAGGAGGTTTTCTGGCTTCCCCACCGTACCTGTTTGGGGGAGGGGGCGCTCCCTTCCCTCTCAGGAGTTCAGTGTTTCTCTCCTGTGCCTCTTCCCACACCAGAATGAACACGGCCAAAGGATTGAGTGGCGGAAGTGGAAGAAGCAGAGTGAGTGAGCGCTTTCAGCAGGGTGGAGTGGGCGCTGTGATGGTCCCAGCAACCTCGGCCACGCCAGGCCACCGGTGCAGGGCGGGACCTTGGGGAGAGCCACCAACCCTTGTCCTCTCTGGGTTCCCCACCACATACCCCCAGAGGAGAGGAAGGAGGCCGCCCGCTACCCCCCCAGGGCCGGAGCAGAGGGAGGAGCCATTCCCTGGTCCCTTGGCCACCGGGATATCCTTTCATGCAGAGAAAGAGGAGCAAAAGAAATGGAAGGACCTCAAACTGATGAAGAAGCTGGAGCGTCAGCGGGCTCAGGAGGAGCAGGCGAGGCGCCAGCAGGAGGAGGAGGCGGCTGCCCAGAGGGACGACCGCGGTGAGCAGGCCTGGCCAGCTGCTGGGGAAACCAAGGTCCAGAGAAGGCAGCCTGGACCTCCTGCCTAGGGCGGGCAGCGTCCGGATGCGGGATTGTGTGCCCAGAACTTCATCTTTCATCCTTTCTTCTTCATGACAGGGTCGTAGCTATCGTGGTTTTTTTTTTTTTTTTTTTTTTGCTTTTTGGGTCATACCCAAAGATGCTCAGGGTTTCCTCCTGGCTCTGCACTCAGGAATGACTCCTGGCAGTGCTCGGGGGTCCATATGGGACGCCAGGGATCACACCCAGGTGCGCCGCGCGAAGGCAAATGCCCTCTCCCCTGTGCTATTGCTCCAGCCCCTCGTGGGATTTTTTGAGTGGGGAGGGTTGGGCCATGTCTGAGGTGTTTAGGGCTCACTCCTGGGGGTGTTCAGGGGACCATGCAATGTGGAGATCCAATCCCCTCCACCCCACGCTCTGTCTTGCCCTACACTGACCTTGAAGCAAGCAGAAGGCGCCCCTCATTGTCCTGCCATCACCCCTCCCCATGGTCACTGTAGTGTCTCTGCCCCCCTGCAGTGTCGCCCACCTTGGGAGACACTTCCGGATCACAGCGTCTTGCTCTGTGCAGGTTGGCCTTGGGGCCAGAGCCAGCGCCTTGGTTGGGACCGGGGTGCCACCCTGCCCGAGCCAGGGACCCTTCAGTCCATTTGTTCCTGGGTTGAGACCAGCTGTGGGTAGTTTGGTCTGTTTTGCTCAGCTTAGAATCCACGGGCCTGGGGCCAGGGTCCACTGAAGGGGCTGGAGCACCTGCAGGGCGTGTGGGCGCCCGAGTGCCGACCCCGAGCATTGTGAGGAGTAGAACCAGAAACACGGAACCTGAGTTTGGAGTCTGACTTCGCCTCTGATGCTGCCTGACATCCCCCCTGCCTCCCCGAACCCCACCCCCAGGGCGACCCTACACGCTGAGCGTGGCCCTGCCGGGCTCCATCCTGGATAATGCCCAGTCCCCAGAGCTCCGCACCTACCTGGCTGGCCAGGTGGCCAGGGCCTGCACCATTTTCCGGGTGGACGAGATCGTGGTGTTCGATGAAGAAGGCCAGGATAGCAAGTGAGAGGTGGCCGGGGCTCGGGGAGCCCACGCACTCACCCCGGGATGGGGGTTGGGGGGCCCACACACTCACCCTGCGCCCGGGGTGGGGGTCGGGGAGCACATGCACTCATCCCAAGCTGGGCTGGGGGGCAGGGGAGCCCCAGGAGTGGCCCCTTGCGGCTCTTGAGCCCCCGTCTCTCTCTTCCCCCCCAGGACCGTGGAGGGGGAATTCCGGGGCGTCGGGAAGAAGGGGCAGGCATGCGTGCAGCTTGCCCGGATCCTGCAGTACCTGGAGTGTCCCCAGTACGGAAGCGAAGCGAGTGTCTGCCTGCCCTGAGCGGGGGCTGAGGGGTCAGCTCCCCGGGGATCCCCTGATCGCCTCTTCTTTCCCAGGTACCTGAGAAAGGCCTTCTTCCCCAAGCACCAGGACCTGCAGTTCGCGGGTGAGCCTGGGGGTCAGTCCCGTCCCTGGTGGCAGGCTGGGGGCTGGGGCGCCTCCCAGCATCCTCCTGGCTCTTCCTCCCTTTCCCCCCACAGGCCTCCTGAACCCCCTGGACAGCCCTCACCACGTGCGGCAGGACGAGGAGGCCGAGTTCCGAGAGGGCGTCGTGGTGGACAGGCCCACCCGGCCCGGCCACGGCTCCTTTGTCAACTGTGGTCTGAGGAAGGTAGGAAGGGGCGGTGGGGCCGGGACAGCGGCTGGGGTGTGAGTCCTGGCTCCCTCAGCCCCCAGGGGACAGCCGGCAGCTAGTTCCCAGCTCTGCGTGGGAGTGGAGCTCGGCCTCGCGCTGCTAGCCACGGACTCTGCACCCCTCCCCGAATCACCTGTTTGGGCTGTGCGAGGGCTCCGTGTTGGGACCAGGCTTGAGTCCTGGTTGGCACAGGCCAGGCCAGTGCTTTTACCCCGTTCTCTCTACCTCCGTCGACGTTTAAAATTTTTGTTTGTTTTGGGCTGGAGTGGTAGCACAGCGGGTAGGGCGTTCGCCTTACAAGCGGCCAACATGGCCGACCCGAGTTCGATTCCTCCGCCCCTCTCGGAGAGCCCGGCAAGCTACCGAGAGTATTTGATATGCCAGACACAGTAACAACAGTCTCCAATGGAGACGTTACTGGGCCCGCTCAAGCAAATCGACGATCAACGGGAGGGCCTTTATCTCTCTCTTTATCTTTGGGTCTCATGGCTTACTCCTGGCAGTGCTTGGGGGACCCTGTGGGATGCTGAGGATTGAACCGTGGCTGGGTTTTGCTGTTTTGGGGCCACACCCAGCAATGCTCTGGGATTATTCTTGGCCCTTGAGGGGGGGCTGAGTCCTGATGGGAAGCCGGGGATGGAACTCAGGCCAGCCACATGCAGGGCAGGTGCCTGCCCCGCCGCCCCATGGCCCCTTCTTGGGGACTCTGCGCCCACACTCACCTGTGCGCAGGCCCGGGTGTCTCCTGCTAGTCGCACAGGGAACAGCCCCGTGTCTGGCTTCTCCCCAGGAAGTGAAGATTGACCGGAACCTGGAGCCGGGACTCCGGGTGACCGTGCGGCTGGACCCGAAGCAGCTCCCAGGTACCTGGAAGCTGGCGGGGTGGATGGAGAGGGCGCGGGTGGCTCCCCGGCTCCTGTTCACACCTTTGCTTTCCTCTCCCCCACCCAGAGTGCAAGAACTACCGCGGCAAGGTCGTGTCCTCGCAGGACCCCCGCGCCAAGGCAGGTCTCTACTGGGGCTACACCGTGCGACTGGCCTCCTGCCTCAGTAAGCACTGCGCCCATCCCCGCGGCTGGGAACGGGGGTCCCCAGGATCTGAGAGATCAGAGGCACATTCTCAGCCCTGCCTGGAACAGTGGGGGGAGGGGCTCCCTTGCGGATCGCCCCTTCTCTGACCCCCCCATCCCTCATGCACAGCCAAACTCCCTGGGGCTTGGGGATCAGGCTTCCCCCTGCACAGAGCTGGTCTCACCCCCAGGTGCGGTGTTCGCCGAGGCCCCCTTCCAGGACGGGTATGACCTGACCATCGGCACGTCGGAGCGCGGCTCGAGCGTGGCCTCCGCCCAGCTGCCCAACTTCCGGTGGGTGCAGCCTGGGACCCGGAGTCAGTCTGGAGGGGGCAGAGCTGTACCACGGGGGCTCTTGGGGACACAGGATGGGGCGCTGAGAGTCAGAGTGGCCCTGACACTCTCCTGTGGGTGCCAGGCATGCCCTGGTGGTCTTTGGGGGCCTGCAGGGGCTGGAAGCGGCTGTCGATGCGGACCCCAACCTGGACGTGGCGGAACCCAGCGTCCTCTTTGACCTGTACGTGAACACCTGCCCCGACCAGGGCAGCCGCACTATCCGCACAGAGGTGAGGCCCGGCCCAGCAGCTAGCGCCCCAAACAATGCAGAGGCTGTGCAGCGGGAACAGAGCGGATGGGCAAAGACTTTGGGGTGCTCAGATGCACCGAGTGGTAGAGCAGATGCAGAGTCCCGGGGTCGGACCTCAGTGCCACCACGGCTGGGTGTGCCCCGCCCCCCTCCCCGGGGGTTAAGGCACAGACTGGCCTGCAGCTGAGCCAGGTCCCATCCCTGGTACACAACCTGGTCCCCTGAGCATCGCCAGACAGGTGGTGGCACTGTAGGGCCACACTTGGCCCCTGCACTGAAACTGCCAGTGTGACTGGCCGAGAACCACCGGGAGGTGCCTACCCCTCAGAAAGAACCCAAGGCAGGACCCGGGGACTGTCCAAGGGATTTGTGTGCCGGCTTCGCATGCTGGTGACCTGGACTCAAGCCTCAGCACTGCAGGGTCCCTTGGGAGGAACCCCGAGTACTTCTGGATGTGGACTCATTTTCCCTCAAAAAAGGTGGGGGCCGGAGAGACAGTACAGTGGGTAGTATGTTTGCCTTGTGCACAGCTGACCCGGGTTCAATCCTTGCACCCCATGTGGTCCCTGAGCACAGCTAGGAGTGACCTGAGCATCACCAGGTGCGGCCCCCCTGAACAAACAAGTCCAGTGTGGTGACTGGTGGGCAGGACAGCCCTCACGCCAGCAGCTGAGAGTCCAGCTCCTGGCGCTAGGGGATGCTGTGTCTGGGCACTGGGCCGTGAGGAGATGGCAGCACACAGGGGCCCTGTCCAGCCCTGGCATTGGGCCTGACCTTCGCCCCGGCCGCCCGTCTCTGCGCTCCCTTCCAGGAGGCCATCCTCATCTCCCTGGCCGCCCTGCAGCCCGGCCTTACCCAGGCGGGTGCCCAGCCCAGGACAGCGGAGACAGACGCTGCGAGACTCGCATGAGAAGCGGCCACCTTTAATGTCCTCTCAGTTCCTGGTTGGGCCGGCACAGCCCTCACTTGCTGCCCGCGGTGATGGCCTTCAGGTTGCCTGCCCGTGCCAGGATGTTTGGCACGAAGAGCAGCCCAGATGCCCGCTCGATGCTCTCGATGGGCACCAGGAAGCGTTCCAGCGGGGTGGTCTCATCCACGGGCGCATTGGGCATCACGTAGGAGCGGAGCTCGATCTGCCCGCCTGCCGACTCCAGAATGAGGACTTTGAAGAAGTGTGTGGGCACTGCCACGTGGTTCTTGCCGATGACTTGGTATTTCACGTAGGACTTGCCATCAGCCTCCGTCCTGCAGCCATACGGTGCCTCAGGGTCACTGAGGGCTGGTCAGGCCTAGGGCCCTCCCCACACACCTCTAGGCAGCCCTCCCTGACTTGACCTCTAGCTGGTGTGGGTCTCTGTGCCCTACTGCCCGCACGGCCAACACTCCCTCCTACCCTGTCCCCCCGCCACTCAGCACTGGGACTGGCAGAGGGAGAAGTAGCAATAAATACAACAGGACGAAACAGACTAAAACATTCTGAATGTGGGCCCCATGCAGGATCAGGCTGTGTTTCGGGGTGGGGGCGGGCACTCTAGAGGGCTGTCACATTTCAGTGCTGGACCCCAGGACATGGTGGCCACCTCAGGGCCTCCCCCACCACACCATTAGGCCAGAGAATCCCCTGAGCTGGACTCCAGGGCTGAGGGGTCAGAGCCCTCAGCCAGAGGAGATGCAGTTGCAGCAGAAGTGAGAATCCGGGAGACGGACTCCTTGGGCCCTCAAAGCCCTAGTGGGGGCCGGGGCCTGGGGCAGACGGGACCCAAGGCCCGTCCCAGCCTCACCTGGGCAGGAACAGCGGCCCCGTGCAGACATAGACGTTCTGGTAGTTGCGGGTCAGGCTGCGGCTGTACTTTTCCAGGTTGTTCCAGGCGTTCTGGTTGAGGTGGGGCACCTGGTGGGAGGGGTGGGGCTCAGTGAGGAGCGTCCCCCTCTGCGGGCAGGCTCAGGACAAAAGTCATGGCTTGTGCTCCAGGGATTGTGCGGTATTGGGGAGAGGCCTGGGGCCCCCACATGCAATGCTCGGGCTCCAAGGAAAAGCAGTTACGAGTGAGCCTGGAGAGGCTTAAGAGTGCTAACTTCGGGGCTGGATAGCACAGTGGGTAAAGCGTTTGCCTTGCACGCAGCTGACTGGGTTCGATTCCCAGCATCCCATAGGGTCCCCCAAGCACCACCAGGAGTGGTTCCTGAGTGCAGAACCAGGAGGAACCCCTGTGCATCCCTGGGTGTGACCCAAAAAGCAAAACAAAAAGAGTGCTGACTTCTAGGATGGCAGACAGGTGGGCAGGGCTGGGTGGTTGAGTAGATCCTTGCAGTGAAGGTTTACCCCTCAGCACGGCAGTGAACAAACAGAACAGCAGCCTAAAACCTGGCCAGGCACTTCTCAGCTTCCAAGAGTCTTCAAGACACATTTTTTTTTTATTGTTGTTGTTACTTTTTGGGGGGTCACACCCGGCGATGCACACGGGTTCTCCTGGCTCTGCACTCAGGAATTACTCCTGGTGGGGTGCTCGGGGGACCATAGGGGATGCTGGGGATCGAACCCGGGTCGGCTGCATGCAAGGCAAACGTCCTAACTTGCTGTACTACAGCTCCAGCCTCCAAGGCACATTTTGGAGCCACAGTACAGCGGGGAGGATGCTCGCCTTGCACATGGCCCACCCAGGCTCAACCCCTGGCACCCCATAGGGTCCCCTGAACACGGCCAGGCTGTGATTCCTGAGCCCAGAGGCGGGAGCAAGTCCCGAGCGCTGCCAGCTGTGTCCCCAAACAAAAAGTGGTGTCAGTGGGGCGCTGGTGGGCGCGTCCAGCCCCCAGCAGAGTCTGGGAAGAGCGGTGTGCCAGGACGGCTGGGGGGCCCGGGGCTGCGGGCGGGCGGGCGCGGGCGAGCAGGGTGACGGACCGTAGGGACCTGGCGGCAGGACCCGCGGGCGGGGAGGACGCGAGGTCCGGCCGGGCGGGCGGCGGGGCCCTACCTGGGGCGCCACGTTGCTCAGGTAGAAGGTGTCGTCCATGGCCTTCTGGCTCCAGCGGTGGTTGGCGGCGGCGGCCAGGTGGCCGCGGTCGAAGCCGCTGCCGCGGTAGTCGGCGTTGGTGGCGCGGTGGTAGGCGTGCACCGAGTCGTCCTCGCGGAAGTCGCAGGCGCGCCGGTCGCCGTCGCCGCGCAGCCGCTCGGGCCGCAGCTGCTCCAGCACCCAGAGCGCGCCGCGGGTGCGCGGGTCGTAGCAGAGCACGTACGAGTCGCGGCTCTTGAGCTGCGCCAGCCCCGGCAGCCCGTACTTGGCCAGCTCGCCGGCCGGGGCCCCGGGCAGCGCGGGCACGCCGGACGCCGCCGCCGCCACGGGCAGCACGGGCAGCCGCCGCAGCAGCCCCTCGGCCCGCGCGTCCTCCCCGCGCCGCCGCCGCCAGCCCTCGGCCGCCGCGCCCAGCCCCGCGCCCACCGCCAGCGCCAGCGCCACCCGGCCGCGCAGCGCCCGCATGGTGACCGAGCGGCCCGCCAGCACCCGGGAGCACCGAGGCGCCGCGAGCCCAGCACCGCCGCGACCCCGGGCGTCCGCGCCGCCGGGCCCTTAAAGGGGCCGCGCTGTCCGCGTCGGGGGCGGGGGCACGGGGCTCGCGCCGCGGGGACGGGGCCCGGGGGGCGCGGAGCAAGGCGCGGGGGCGTCCGGGCCTCCGAAGGGCGGGTGACCGCGACAGAGGACGGCCGGAGCCCTGGTGCCCTTCGCCCTTTCAGGACCTGGGGGGCTGGGGGCGGGGCCACTGCTCTGGGTGCTGATTGGCCCGTCCCTGCCGACGCCCCGCCCCGACCACGCCCCCACACCCCGCCCTACCAAGCTCCGGGGTCCTGAACGTACAAGGTCGGGCCCGCCACTGGTCGCCCCCAGCTCCACCTGGGTGCCCTGGGGAGCTTGGCACGTCTGGCCCGGGCATCACCAGGCCCTCTAGCCGGGTGGGCCAAGAACTGCAGGGAGCCGGCCCCCGGGGCACGCCTCCCCCGGCCCCCTCCACTCCGGACACCCCTAGGAAGGGCAGCGAGGAGCCCGAAGAGCTGCTCTCCAGCACTTTGATAACGAAATCCTCTAGAGCGCCTCCAGAGGGAGCTCCTGCTTGGCAGAACAAGACCCCAGGGCTCGGACAGCTCAAAGGGTCCAACAATTACAACAACGCAAGCGCTTCTAGGGAGGCCGCAAAGAGCGTTTCTGTCAGACCCAGCAGGAGAAGGATGCAGGCCGCGTGTGCTCTGCTGGGGACGGGAGCTGCTCGCTTCCAGGAAGCAGCTAGACAGTTGTGCTCGGGAAGCTTTAACAAGGCTCATACGGGGGGCAGAGATGGCTCAAAGGGCCGCACACATGCTCTGCAGAGGCCCGAGTGTCCACCACTGACCCTGGTGCCACATGGTCCCCTGAGCGATCTCCAAGCAGAGATCCAGGTGCAGCTCCCAAATACTCAGGAGGGATGGACTCTCCTTCCAAAATAAGGTCCATATAACAGTTAAGATGACTTACACGCATGTGAACCCAGTTTGAATCTCGGTACTGACAAAAAAAAAATTGCTGTGTGGAGGGGCTGGTCCACCCCTGGTGGTGCTGAATTTCTGCTTGGAGCTTGCTCTCTGCCATGTTCGGGGGGGGGGGAGGGGGGGCAGCGCAGTGTCAGGCATTGACCTGGGGTTGACCACATGCGAGTAAAGAACCTTAATCCCTGTGCTCTCATTGGCCACACGCACAAAGTAAGGTCGACAGTGCCCAGGATGTGACTCAGTGGCAGAACGCTTGCCATACATGTGAGGTCCTGGGTTCAATCCTGAGCAACACATACACACACACACACAACTGATATGGACTGTGTTAGACAGCACAAAAGGCTGCTGCACCTGGCAATGGGCTGAGTTTGGTCCTCAGCACTGCAAGGTGCGGTCCTTGTGCCTCCAGCACAATTAGGCCCGATCACTAAACCGTCACCTCCCCTCCACCCCCAACAGGGCAGGGAGTGGCCAGGCTACCTTTGGGGAAGGTCCCACTCCCCCGAAAAACATTTTCTAAAAAGTGAACTTGGGGGACTGGAGCAATAGCACAGCGGGGAGGGCGTTTGCCTTGCACGCGGCTGACCCGGTTCGATTCCCAGCATCCCATATGGTCCCCCAACACCGCCAGGAGTAATTCCTGAGTGCATTGCCAGGTGTGACCCAAAAAGCAAACACCCCCCTCCCAAAAAAAAGTGAACTTGGTACCAGAGCAATTAGGGTGTTTGCCTTGCACCCTGCCAACCTGGGATAGATGGTGCCCCCCGCACCCCCAGGAATAGACCTTGAGTGTAGAGGCAAGAGTAACCCTTGGGTATCACCAGGTATGGCCCCAAAACACAAATCCAAAGCCCTTTTGCACCCACTTAGGGTGGGTGCTGAGGAAATCAATCAGAAGAGGATTCCTACAAGCAATTTTCCAGTGCTGGAGGCTAGGATAAGTGAAACATTCGAAAGTGGGGACCCACGTGGGACAGTCCACAGTCCACTGGACGAACAGGACTCTAGCCCAGCATTCTTCACCCATGGACACAGGTACAGAAAAGCTGAAAACTGGTCTGCCTCAAGGATAACTGCTGGTCTATGGCTCTGCATGGCCACCACTGGTTCTGGAACGTGTAGAAAAGGAGACAAGGGTAAGGTTGCTGCTCCAGTCCATAGAAGTTTAAGGTACTTTATTTATTTATTGGGGGGGGGGGGCTCCCAGCAGTGCTCAGGGACTGACTCTGGGCTCACGGATCACTCCTGGTCTTGCTGCAAGAGCCGGGGCCATGTGCCAGGCCTGACCCACTGCACTACTCTTCTGGCCCCACTGGAAGTATTTTTGTTTTTTGCTTTTTGGGTCACACCCGGTGATGCACAGGGGTTACTCCTGGCTCTGCACTCAGAAATTACTCCTGGTGGTGCTCATGGGACCACATGGGATGCTGGGAATCGAACCCGGGTCGTCCGCGTGCAAGGCAAACGCCCTACCCGCTGTGCTATTGCTCCAGCGCCCCCCCCCCCACTGGAAGTCTTTTAAAATCATACAGCAACTTGCTCATCACCTAACACGGAGCGGGGACAAGGCACACACCTAGAGTGCAAGAGGGTGACAGAGAGGGAATTTAGAGCAACATCTGCAAAAATGAGCGAGTTCTGCCATTTTCCCAGAATCTATGACGTCAGGGACTTGCTCCGCACCCCCTGCCCCTGCATCGAGCACAGCGCTGAGTGGGCAGAAGGCTGGCTGGTTGCTCTGAGACCCGCCTGGCCATGTCCTGTGCCCCTTGCCCCCAAGGGCTCTGTCATTCCGAAAGAACCAACACACACGGCAAAGAACACGTGATTTATTAAAGACAATTTGTCTAGACGGCATTGATTCCAGAAACAGAACATGGGGGTAGGGAAAGAAAGCAAATGAAATGTTGGAGGCTCTGGAGGGCGTGCGGGGGTGGGTGGGGAGGGAGGACCCCCAGGGCGACCCTGTCCTCCAGCGCCTCCCCTGAGCAGTCTAACCCAGGCCTGGTCCCGGTGCCTCCAACCTTCACCCGACGGTGAACGCAGAACGGCACGCAAATGCAACGCGGGGATTCAAGTAGTATGGCCCCAAAAACGGAAGTGGGGGGACAGGCAAGAGGGAATGCAGCAGGGGTCTGGGCAGTGCCTGCTGGGGTCCCAGCATCAGCATCAGACTCTGAAGGGGTTCAGGCAGGACAGGACCACCAGCTGACAAGTCCTGGGCTAAGGGGGGGCGTGGCCGGCGGGAAGGTGTGTCCGGGCACTGGTGAGGGTCCCCACGGTTCCCCTGCCACTTGGGCCAAGCAAGATGTCCCACCCGTCCCCACAGCACCAGCAAGACCACGACGGTCCCTGAGGCAGGACACAGGAAGGAAATCAACAGTGGGGCCCGCAGGCAGCAGGGATAATCGTTTCTCCTTCCGGGGACCCCAATCCACCCTCGGCCTCAAGGCTAGCAGGGGCCAACCTGCCAATAAATAACCAGAAATAGAAATAAATAGGGAAAATGTGCCAATACTGTGTCGGGAGAGACAGCGGTACCCAGGCAAGTACAGGAGGCCCCAACAGCACCAGCGGGGGCAGAGGGCATCTCGGCGGCTGCCAGCCTCGGAACGAACATCGGATCGGGACACGACCCGCCCGCCTCGGCCTGCCCGCCGTGCCACCCCCTGGCCCGGCAATGACCAGCCAGGGGGCCCGCGCCGCCTTCTGCCTCCGGGGACACACACACTCCAAGCCCAGCCCAGGCTGGCACCCTGGGCACTGGCTGTATGGGACACCCACACATAAACACCCCGTGCTGAGGTGAGCCTGACCCCCCGCCCTTCTGTGCCCTCACCTCTCCTCATCCTGGGCACAAAGGAGCAGAGGCCCCAAGCCCAGGAGCTCCTGGGGCCCCTTGTGGGTGGCAGGAGCAGGGCCAGAGGCCGGGCCGGAATCCTCCCAGAGTCTGGGGGTCACGGAGCAGGAGGTATCAGGGAGGCCGGGGATAAGGCACCCCAAGAGAGATGGCAGAGCACACGGGAGATGGCCACAGTCACACGCCGAGAGAGGAAGAAGGGGATAACAGAGGGATAGAGACGAGAGACCTGCGGGGGCCGGAGTCGCCCCCCAACGTACGTCCACGTGTGCATACACCCCACACGCACCCACATTCTGGGGAGAGACACCAGCTGCACCCACTGCCTCGCTCCTCTCGGCGTCCCCCCTCCTCCCCAGGAGGGCGCCCCAGCAGGAGGCAGGAGGGCAGAATGGAGGCAGGAGGGGCCTCCCTGCAGCCAGGCGGGGCAGGCGGGACGGCCCCTGGCCCCGAGAAGGAACCGGCGCTGCAGCTTCCCTGGGCTGTGGGCCCAGCCTGGGGCCCGGGGGTGGCGGCTTCTCGTCCAAACCTGGGGGCGACCCTGCTACTTCGTGTCTTGCAGCTCCTTGGCCTTCTGCAGGATGCGGCAGACGTCAGCGATGGGGTAGTCCTGCCAGAGGCAAAGCCGTGACAGCCCCCCGCGAGCCCTCTTCACCCCTCCAGCCATGCCACTGGACTCTGGCGCTGGGGACAGGTGACCGACTAGCCCCAAGCCCAAAGCGGCCCAAACCCCCAGTACAAAAAAAAAAATCCCACAGTCCAGCAGGGAGGGCGTCTGCCTTGCATGCAGCCGACCAGGGTTCAATTCCCGGCATCCCATGTGGTCCTCGAGCACCGCCAGGAGTAATTCCTGAGTGCAGAGCCAGGAGTAACTCCTGAGTATAGCTGGATGTGACCCAAAAAGAAAAAAAAAAAACACCCCACTGCAACCCCCCCTCCCCATCAATGGCTCTCAACTCTCTTAGGGCTGGGCCTAGCCGGGCCACCCCCCTGCCCTCTATACGAACAACCCCTTGGCTCCATGTCACAAGCCAGTGGGGTGAGACACTGGCCAGCAGTAAGCCCCCGGGTCCCCTTGACGGCCTGAGGAAAGGGTGACCGTCACGAGGCCCATTTTACAGACCAAGTCGATGGGTCAGACAGCCTCGGCCAGGCCAACCCTGAGGACTCAGCCCACCTGACAGGACCCACGGCAGCCTGGACCTGGGGCCGCACACGCCTGCTTGGGGACCACGCCCGGCGGTGCTGGAGATCTGAGCCAGGATCCAAGCCAGGAACTGTCACTCTGTCCCCACTAGTCACGCTTTTTTTTTTTTTTGGTGTGGGGGGGCTTTTTGGGTGGTGATGCTCAGGGGTCACTCCCGACTCTGTACTCAGGGATCACTCCTGGCTCTGCGCTCAGGGGTCACTCCTGGCTCTGTGCTCAGGGCTGACTCCCAGTTCTGTGCTCAGGGCTGACTCCCGGCTCTGCACTCAGGTCTCACTCCTGGCTCTGTGCTCAGGGCTGACTCCTGGCAGAGCTCAGGACACGACGTGTGTGCCAGGGATGTAACCTGGTTCGACTTCATCAAGGCAGGTGCTCTCCCCCCTGCACTAGCACTTTGGCCCCCCAATTCCAATTTGTCTTGTTTTGGCTTTGGTTGCTGGACCACACCTGGTGATGCTGAGGGGTTACTCCTGGCTCTACACCACTCAGGAATCACCCCTGGGGCTGCTCGGAAGACCCACGCCCCTCCCCCCCCCCACTGTGCCATCGCTCCGGCCACCACCCCGCTTTCTGAACACGGGCCACCACCCATGGCCGAGTTCCGCCCTGACGGTGCTCAGATGCTAAGGCGACCACCCCGGCAGCACACGAAGGCCACAGAACACAGGGCGTCCGACCGGGGGCCGCGCCTGGGCCTCCCTGCCCAGTCTGAATCCACGGCCCAGACTGCTGAGACCTGGGCCTGATGCGGCTGTGTCCAGGTTCAATGAGGGGACAGCAGTCACACTGGGGTCAGCGGCAGTGACCACAGGGTGGGGTGCCTGGGCGTGGGCGTGGCTGGGGGGGGGCAGGGGAGCCCGCAGGCTTTACCTGCAGCAGCCGCATGTTGACGGTGAAATCTCCCTCCAGCAGCTGCTCCCGGATCAGGCTGAGGAACGAGCAGGAGCCGCTGGGACCCAGAACCTCGGGCAGGGAGGAGCACCCCACCCGGGGCCCCCCCCAGCCCCTCGCCCCCCACAGGGCTCACATGAGCATGGCGCAGCAGACCAGGAGCAGGAAGTCGAAGCGGCTGTCATCGGCGAAGAGGGAGTCCCAGATCCGGATGACGTCGGGGAGCAGGAACTCCTGGGACAGCAGCAGCGTCAGCCAGCGGAAGGCGAAGAACTGGGGCTTGATGTTCTGCTCTTGCTGCGGAGAGAGTGAGAGCAACGTGTTGGCCGCACGGCGGCGGGGGCAGGACGGGGAGGCGTCTGCGTGCCACGTGGCCACGCTCGGTGCAACAGTGCCGGGAGCCTGGCAAGGAGGGACCCTGAGCACAGAGCCAGGAGTCCCTGAGCGCCGTGTGAGGGCCAACTGCTCCCCGCAAAGCAAAGCACAGTACAAAGATGATCCCGTTGGGGCTGGAGCAGTAGCACAGCGGGGAGGGCGTTTGCCTTGCATGCGGGCCGATCCAGGTTCGAATCCCAGCATCCCATATGGTTCCCTGAGCACTGCCAGGAGTAATTCCTGAGTGCAGAGTCAGGAGGAATCCCTGAACATCGCCGGGTATGACCCAAAAAGGCAAAACTAAATAAATGAATAAAAGTAAGTCCTGGGCACCGTGGGGTGTGGCCCCAAACCCAGAAAATGTATGGATTACTTTCCTGTGCAAAAACTTTTTTCTGGGGCCACACCTGACAGTGCTCAGGCCTTACTTACTCCTGGCTTTGTGCTCAGGAATCACTCTCAGCAGGCCTCAGGACCTTGGCAGGGTCATGGTGGGGGGTCTCAGAGACGAACCAAAGTGAGCCGAGTGCGAGACACATGCCCTTCCCACTGGGTCTCTCTGGCCCCAAACAAGTATCTACGTCTGTTCAATTTTCACTGCTATGTTCCCTGAAGTGAGCAGGGAGTGTCATTCAGTCATTCAAAAAGTGATCTGAGGCGGCTGGAGCAATAGCACAGTGGGGAGGGCATTTGTCTTGCACGCGGCTGACCTGGGTTCGATTCCCAGCATCCCATGTGGTCCCCCAAGCACCACCTGGAGTAATTCCTGAGTGCAGAGCCAGGAGTAACCCCTGTGCATTGCCGGGTGTGACCCAAAAAGCCAAAAACAAACAAACAAAAAAACCCCAAAAAGCCATCTGAGGGGCGTTCCTGCTTCCCCCGGAGCCTGTGCGCACTCACCAGCCGCAGGTAGAGCTCCACGTCCCTCTCCTTCAGCGTGGAGTAGACCTTCTCCATCTTGTAGATGATGCCGCACTGCGAGTCATCCAGGCTCTTGATGAAGTTATCCCGGATCTCGGCCATGAGGTTGGTGAAGCAGAAGAAGGTGTCAGCCTCCGCGTGCTCTGCAAGAGGCAGGGCGGGTCTCCTCGGGAAGGGCCCCCCGGCATCCCCGCTCCCCCTTGCTCCAGCTCTCCAGATGCCCCTTTGTGCCCTCCCTGCACACCCCGTGATCTGGGAGACGAGAGGGGGTTCCTGTGTCACAGCCTGATTCCTGCCTCTTGCTCTGATGGCGACGAGGGTATCTCCCTGTCTGTACCAGGGATACAGTCACAAGTCTCGGGGCCCAGGAGATACCCCAGCATCAACGCTGCCTGCAGGAGACCAGGGTTCTATTCCCAGGGACCACAAGGTTCCCAAGAATCACCAGGGGTGACCCTAATCAAACACCCAACACACAAATGATTGAGATAGCATCAAGAGTCAACATTCGGGGCAGGAGCAATAGCACAGTGGATTGGGCAAGTCTGTCTTGAACGCAGCTGATCCGGGTTCCATCCCCGGCATCCCATATGATCACCCGAGCACTGTCAGGAGTAATTCTTGAGTTCAGAGCAAAGAATGTGACCCAAAAAGAAAAAAAAATTCTAGAGGGTTCAACACTCAAGAGCGTTTCGGGCAGAAAGGCACTGGGACGAGACCCAGACACCCCTGGTCCGACAAGGATCGAGATCAGCTCGCAGTGTCCACCAGCCTCAGGCAGCCGCTTCACTGTTTTTATTTCATTTTGGGGTCACACGTGGGGCTCAGGGCCGACTCCTGTCACTCCTGGTGGAGCTCGAGGACCCCTATGGGGTACTGGTGACAGAACCTGGGCAGTTTTGTGCCCGGCGAACACCGTCCCTGCTGTGCTCTTGTGCAGGCCCACGCACAGCCTCTCGGGCAGGGAATCCGGGGCCTGCTTACCCTTCCACTCGCTGTTGGGGTCGGTGGCGAAGGTGTAGTAGAGGGGCCCGACTATCTCGTTCATGCCCTGCACGTAGGCGATGCCGGGGTTGAGCTTGGCGTAGATGAACAGGATGCGCTCCACCACCTCCCAGTGGGCCTCCGAGCCGGCGGGCAGCACGGCGTACTCGCTCAGGGAGGCGGGTGCGGTGTTCCGGTGTGGGGAGCTCATCTGCGGGCCAGAGGCGGCGCCGTGAGGGGGTGGGGTCCCGAGAGGGGGCTTCTGCTGCTCAGAGGGACCCGTCACGCAGCCAGACTTGCCCCGCACCGGCCACCCGCACCCATACCGGCAGGCAAGGAGCCTGGAACCAGGAAGACAGCTGGACCAGGGAACGTGGGGTGAGAGAGGCCAGAGCAGCACTGGCCCGAGGGCAGGGATCCTGGTCAAGAAGGGACCCAAGGGGTTGGAGGATGATGGCACAGCGGGGAGGGCATCTGCCTTGCATGCGCCTGACCCGGGTTCGATCCCTGGCATCCCATAGTGTCCCCTGAGCACCTCCAGGAGGGATTCCTGAGTGCAGAGCCAGGAGTAACCCCTGAGTATCTCTGGGGATAACTGAAAAAGAAAAATTAAAAAAAAAAGGGGGGGGGCACAAAGGAACTTTCTGGACAATAAAATAGGTCCAAGTTGGGCTGGAGAGATAGCACAGCGGGTAGGGCGTTTGCCTTGCACACAGCCGACCCGGGTTCGATTCCCAGCATCCCATATGGTCCCCTGAGCACCGCCAGGAGTAACTCCTGAGTGCAGAGCCAGGAGTAACCCCTGTGCATCACCGGGTGTGACACAAAAAGCAAAAAAAAAAAAAAAGTCCAAGTCTTGGGGCTGGAGTGATAGCATAGCAGGTAGGGCGTTTGCTTTGCTTGTGGCTGACCCGGGTTCGAATCCCAGCATCCCATATGGTCCCCCGAGCACTGCCATGAGTAATTCTTAAGTGCAGAGCCAGGAGCAATCCCTATGCATTGCTGGGAGTGACCCAAAAAAAAAGGCCTGAGTCTTAGGTGAACATAAGTGCACACATAAATAAAATCTTAATTAAGACCATTTAAATATTCATATACAGAGTAAGAGTTGATATCATCAACTCATGATTGGGATGTGTGCCTACTGTAGTTTTTTCCATTTCTGTATGATATAAATAAAAGTTTGCATATTAAAATCTGATTTTTCCCCAGAGACAAGCACTATATAGTATATCTATTTAGATCAAACTGTGGTAATCTATTTATCAGGAAACAATGTTGGGGACTGTAGCCTGAATACGTGGACTTAAAGTAATACAGAAATGAAGAGCAGACGTGGATTCCATTGTATAAGTTATTATGTGACTACTATAAATTCTTGTATAAAACAAAAACAATGAAAAAAAAAGAAAAACAAAAATAGCTTTTATTTTGAAATACAAAAAAAGAAAGAAAAAGGTCCGAGTCTCAAATTTCCTGGTACTTACATGAGGTGTGGGTTTCTTTTTAACGACTGGAGGGGGTGATACAGACCCATGCACCGTAAGACTCATGATTTTATTTCACCTCCATTTTATTTTATTTTTCGGTTTGGGGGGCCACATCTGATGATGCTCAGGGGTTACTGCTGGCTCTGCACTCAGAAATCACTCCAGGTGGTTTCCTGCTTGTCTCTCGGGCCCCACACTAAACTTTTTGTTTGTGCTTTATTGTTTTAAGAGTCATACCCAGCAGCTCAGGGTTTACTCCTGGCTCTGCACTCAGGAATGACGCCTGGCAGTGCTTGGAGGACCTTATGGGATGTCAGGATTGAACCCGGGCCGGCCTGGTGCAAGGCCAGCGCCCTCCCCGCTGCGCTATGGTCCCAGTCCCTGAAATTTTTTTCTACCACCACAACCCACACCCCGTGCCCACCACACTGGACTTTTTCTCCCCCCTTTTATGGCTTTTTAGGTGACACTCAGCAATGTTCAGGGGTTCCTCCTGGCTCTGCACTCAGGAATTACTCCTGGCAGTGCTCAGGGGACCATATGGGATTCCAGGGATCAAACCCAGGTTGGTTATGTGCAAAAGTCCTACCCGTCGCTATAGTATCACTCCAGTCCCACTTTCCCTATTTTTTTTTTTTTTGGTGCCAGAGCAGGCGGTACTCAGGGCTCATTCCTGCTCATGCCGGGGGACCATGAGGTACCAGGCATAAAACCCTGGTCCCCCACATGCAAATCATGCTCTAGACTGCCCAGTGTTTGCTCTGGTCCACAGCTGACATTTTGAAGAGTCTGGACAAACAGCCTGTTTTTGACATATGAAGTTTTAAAAATTGAAGCAGAAGCACTAGCATGATAGTACAGCAAGTAGGGCATTTGCCTTGCATGCAGCTGATGCAGGTTGGATCCCCATTATCCCATATAAGTTTCCTGAGCATGACAGGAGTGATTCCTGAGCACAGAGCCAGGAGTAACCCCTGAGCATCACCGGACATGTCCGTTCCCCCCCCCAAAAAAAAAGGGTTAAAAAATTGAAGAAGGGACTGGAGTGATAGCACAGCAGGTAGGGCTCTTGCCTTGCATGTGCCCGAACCGAGTTCAATCTCCAGCACTCCATAGAGTCCCTGAGTACTGCCAAAAGTGATCCCTGAGCACAGAGCCAGGAGTAAGCCCTGAGAACCACTGAGTATGGCCCAAAAACAAAAACTTGAAGCATAGGGGGCCGGAGCACAGTGGGGAGGACAAGCGGGTGGGTGCCGGCCCTGCTCACAGTCAACCCAATACCGTACAGGTTGAGTGGCTAGGAGCAATCCTTGCGTGCAGAGCCAAGAGGAAGCCTGGAGCACTGCAGGTGGGGCCCTACAAAACAAAACTACTTAGAGGGATTAAAACAGCACCCCAGGGGCTGGAGGGATAGCACAGCGGGGAAGGCATCTGCCTTGCAACCCGGGTTTGATTCCCAGCATCCCTATTGGACCCCTGAGCACCGCCAGGAGTGACTTCTGAGTGCAGAGCCAGGAGTCAGCCCTCAGCATCGCAGGGTGTGACCCAAAAAGCAACAACAAAAAAAAAGCAGCATCCCAATGCAACACCAAGATCCGGATTGCACTCAGCTGGGACATCCGGCAGAAGCACTGAGCTTCTGGGCCACTGGTCATGGACCAGCATCAGGGGTCAGCGTCACTGTGACGTGTGGCAAGTTCATGGTCCCACAAGCTTCTCTAAACCCCACACACGCAACGCAGAGCAGCACTGACACTGGCAGTGGGGTCTCGGGCTCGCCCGCCAGCATTTCTGAACGGGTCCCCGTTTTCCCGTGGAAAAGGGAAGACACAGAGATGAGGGTCTTTGCCCGATGCTCAGGCTGGGGCCAAGTCAGTATATTTTCCTGCTCACATGTGGCTCCAGCTTCGATCCTCGGCAGCACCCATAACCCCCACCCCCCGCATCAAGGGGTTAGAGAGACAGCACAGCCGGTAGGGAGTTTGCCTTGCACGTGGCCGACCCGGGTTCGATTCCCAGCACCCATATGGTTCCCTGAGCACTGCCAGGAATGACTCCTAAGTGCAGAGCCAGGAGTAACCCCTGAGCATCGTCAGGTGTAACCCAAAAAGGAAGAAAAAACCATCAAAAAAAATATCCAGAGGAGCCGGAGAGAGAGGACAGCAGATAGGGCGCTTGCTTTTGGCCAACCCGGGTTCGATCCCCAGCATCCCACATGGTTCCCGAGTACTACCAGGAGTGCTCCCTGAGTGCAGAGCCAGAGGTAAGCCCCGAGCAACACCCAGTGTGTCCAGCCCTGCCCCTCCCCCCCGCCAAAAAAAATAACCACCCAGAAAGAGTCTCCAGGGGTCCCTGTGGCACTGAGGCTGCCCGGGACAATGGGCAGGGCAGGGGCCCCATGGACGAGGCCTGTGACCCCAGGAAGGAGAAGGCTGAGCCTGAGGGGAGGTGGGGGGCGGATGCCACTCACATTGGTGACCCCACTCCGGTTCCGGGCCACGGTCTGGGACTTCAGTGTGGTCTGCTCCACACGCTTTCGAAGGGTCTCAAACTCGTTCTGGGGGTCCAGGATGAGGAGGCACGGGTACTCGGTGGGCCTCTGGAAGAAGGAGATGTCTGGACACAGCCGTCTGCAGAGGAAGCAGGAGACAGTGCTAGGCCGGGGGTGGGAGGATCTGCGGGTTCATCCCCTGAGCACCCTGAAAGATTGTAATTAGTAACATTTCATTAGAAAAACTAAAAAATGCGGTCGACCTGGGTTCGATCCCTGGCATCCCATAGGGTCTCCCAAGCACCACCAGGAGTCATTCCTGAGTGCAGTGCCAGGAGGAACCCCTGAGCATCACTGGGTGTGACCCAAAGAGATGAGAGGCAGAGAGACAAAGAGAGAGAGAACAGCGGGTAGGGTGCTTGCCTTGCACATGGTCAACCTAAATTCGATCCCTGGCACCCCATACAGTCCCGCAGTCCCACCAGGAGTGACCCCTAAGCACAGAGAAAGAGCAAGCCCTGAGCACCGCCAGGTGTGGTCCCCCGTGCCTCTGAAAAGCATTTTCCCTTCAGTGTACATGCAGGCTCGTGCGCAAGCGTGCACAACCACCAGTCACTGCAACAACAAAGGGAGGGAAGGGGAGACAGAGCGAAGCAAGCTATATCATAGTTCCACCTCAAAATGATGTGTCTAGGGCTGGGAGAAGGCTCCCAGAGCCGGGGGGCCCGCCTCACCTGGTCCCCCAAACAACAAAACATATCTGCAGCAGGGGAGAGTGAGGAGGGCGGGCCGTGTCGCAAATGAAGGCACTGGACACCTGCAGGACATGACCACGACCACGACCAAGGCTGAGGGGCCGAGGGGCATCCAGGGACGGAGTTCCATGGGGTGGGCACGGTGTGAATGGAGTTTGCTCACAGAGCGACCCATCCTACTCCCTCTCACTCTCTCTCACACACACACAGACAAACACACACTCAGAACTGATCCATCCTCCGGTCACACAGAATAATCTATGTTCGTGTCACACTCACATACACTCAGTGATCCACCCTCCTGTCACACCCACACAGAGTGACCCATCCCTTCGTCACACTCACACTAAGCAATCCATTTTCTCCTGTGACACACAGAGCCATCTATCCTGTCACACACACACAGAATCATCCATTTTTCTGTCACACACACTCAGTGACCCATACCCGTCACACTCATACGCAGTGACCTATTCTCCTGTCACACTCAGTGATCCATGCTCCTGTCACACAATGACCTATCATCCTGTCATACACACAAACACCACTCACTCTGAGCCATCTTCCTGTCACACACACAATCATATACAGTGATCTGTCCTGCCACACTCAATAGTGATCCATTCTCTTGTCACACAGACTGATCCATCCTGTCACACACACACACACACACACACACACACATACACACACACAGATCCATCCTCCTGTCATACTCACACTAAGCAATCCATTTTCTCCTGTCATACACAGAGCTATCCATCCTGTCATATACACAATCATCCATTTTCCTGTCACACAATCAGTGATCCATACCCCTGTCACACTCATACACAGAGTGACCTATTCTCCTGTCACACTCACACACACACTCACAGTGACCCATTCTTCTGTCACACTCACAGTGATCCATCCTCCTCCTGTCACACAATGACCTATCATCCTGTCACACACACACCACTCACACACTCTGAGCCATCTTCCTGTCACACAAACACACGCAAAATCATACACAGTGATCTGTCCTCCTGTCACACTCAACAGTGACAGTCACCCATTCTGTCAGTCACACACACACACACACACACACACACAGATCCATCCTTCTGTCACACACACAGAACAATCAAAGCCATCCATCCTCCTGTCGCTCATACAGAGCAATTCATCCTCCTGTCACATTCACACAGAGTGACCCATCCTCTTGTCCCATTCTCACTAGTAACCCACTCTCCTGTCACACTCATACACTAACAAAGTGATCCGCCCTCCTGTCACACACAGAGCAATCATCCCCTATTCAACACTCTCACACACTCAGTGATTTCATCTTCCTGTCTCTCACATACACATACACTCCGGGGTCCATCTTCCTGTCACACACACGAAGCGATCATCCTGTCACACTCACACATGTTCAAAGTGATACATCGGCCCGTCACATTCACACAGTGATCCATCGTCCTGTCCCACACTCAGAGCGATTCATCCTCTTGCCTCACTCACACACACACTCACAAGGCGACCCATCACACTCGCACACACTCCAGCTCACCCATGCACATGTGCTGCACGGGCCAGAACCAGGTCAGGCCAGGGTTCGGGCTTATACACGGGAGTCCAGGCCGCCCTAGTGGCGGAGAGCAAGGCCCTGTTTCCGCGGGGACTGTCTGGGACCTGGCTGGGCTGGCCATGGGCAAGGCAGGCCACGCGGCCTACACACCTCCCCTGGCCATGCAGGGGCTCCCAGCAGCTCCGCACCAGCCCGGCCACTCGCACCCGTTTCCAGACACGTGGCAAGACGCCCGTGCAACATGCCGCAGGCTCCTTCTCATTTCTGGCGCAGGGTGTGCAGCTTAACGGTGGAGCGAGGCCCCGATATGTCCCTGGCGGGGCCAGGGGGCCGCCCTACTGCCCCACAGAGCTCTGACCTGTCACCACTGCCATAGGGCCTTGCCCCAGCCACCAGCAGAGGCTCCTCCCACCGCCTCGGTCCACACGGGGACACCGAGGCAGGGAGGGGGAGGTCGGGCCGCGCCGCGTGCTCACCGGACGTCCTTATCGATCTGCAGCAGCACCTCGTTGTCCTTGAAGTAGGTGTTCCACCGGCTGTCGGGGTTGGGGTTCAGGGGCTGCGGGGAGCACGGTGCTGGGGAGAGCTGGAGCAGGGCCCCGCAGCCCCGACTCTCACGCTAACACCCCGGGACTGTGGCCGCTGGCAGGGACTGAGCCATGAGGGCACATCTGGCGCCCGCCCCCACCCCCCCACCCAGACCGCGGGAGCACGGTGCAGACCCACGGTGCAGACCCTCCACCCCCAACCCCCACGGGGGGCACCTGGAGAAAGAGGACTCCAGTCTGCAGCCTCAGATGCTGCCGCTGACCCCGGGCCCGGACTCACGTGGTCCTCGAAGGTCACGTCCTCCCGGGACACCCCGAGGTTGGCTTTGGCGATGCCCGGCTGGATGATCATTTCCCGCAGGAACTGCGCATACAGCTCTCTGGAGGGAGGGCGGCGGGCTGGTCCCAAGAGGCCATGGGGGGGGGGGGGGCAGCAGGTCCCGGGTCCGTCTGCACCCCCTCCTCCCCCCACACCCCGTCTCCTGGCTCTCACCGCTGCCGGGCCAGGACCGAGGCCCACGAGGCTCGCTCCGAGGGGAGGTAGTTCAAGAGAATCTGCACACGGGGGGGGGGGGGGGGGGGGGTAAGGCTCAGGCAGTGCCCCCCCACCCCAGCCCCCAGCCAGGACAGAGCAGGCGGACTGGGGGCGGGGGAAGGCTCAAAGCAGGGGCGCAGGAGGGGGTGGCCTCCCTTCACAGGGCCCCTCGCCAAGCGGGCTGAGGACCCGGGTCCCCAGGGCTGGAGGCCAGGCTGGGGTTACTGCTCCCAGGGTCCCACGGGGCCAGTCGGGGATCCTGAGTAGGGCCAACCCTGGGCATCCTGGCAGGGCTCAGAGGAGAAACCCTGCGTGCTCGGGGGAGCGGGAGGGTCATGCAGGAGGAAGGGGGTCCCCGCCCAGGCACACCCACCTTCCAGCAGAGGCAGCGCAGTCCTCCCTCACAGGGAATGCCTGTGGACACAGCAGGAACGGTCACCGGGCCTGCTGTGGCCCCCAACCCCCAGCTGGAGCCGAGTGGCCAGCAACTCGCCCAGAGAGGCCCTGGAGGGGGGCTGGTCCCGCCCGTCACCTCTCTCCTGAGTCCAGAGCAGCCTCTGTCTGCGATATCCCAGGCCACACCCAGAACCTCTCTTGGGGAGCTACGCCCTGAGACCAAGCCAGGATGAAACAGAGACTTCCCTGTGCTGACTCCCCTCCCGAGCCCTATGTCCTCCAAGGGCACTCTGGGGCGACGCTTTCTGCAGTTGGAAATTTGGCTCCAGGACAGAGCATTTGCCTGGTCGGGTGCGGCTCTGGGTGCAGCCAAGAGTAGTAATTGTTACAGTAATAGAGCCTTGGGGGCGAGAGCAATAGAGGTGCTGGAGTGATAGCACAGCGGGGAGGGCGTTTGCCTTGCAGGTGGCCAACCCGGGTTCGATTCCCAGCCATCCCATATGGTCCCCTGAGCACCGCCAGGAGTAATTCCTGAGGGCAGGAGCCAGGAGTAACCTCTGTGCACTGCCAAGTGTGACCCAAAAGCAAAAAAAAAAAACCCAAAAATATTACAGCAGAGACGACACTTCCCTGCCTGCCTCCAATCTGGGCTGCATGCCCCAAGCCTACCAGGAATGATTCCTGAGCACAGAACCAGGAGTAAGCCTTGAGCACCCTAGGTCTAGCCCCCAAACCAACAACAACAATAATAATAGGCCAAAGAGACTGCTCAATGGGCCAGAGCATTCCCCCAGGTCTGATCCCTGGCACCTCGTGACCCCCCGAATACCACCAGGAGCAACCTCCAAGCACTGAGCAAGATGCTGGCTCTAAGCACTGCACTGGGAGGGTGGGTCCAAGCTATCAATCAATTAGGGAACTGCAACTTCTCCAGAGCATTTGTAACCACCAAGACCACCTCTTCCAGGCCTGAAATTCCATGAATCCCAAAGCTTGGGGGCCAAAGTATCAGATCCTGAGAAGCACCATCATAGCAGGAACCCAGACAAGTGGTTAACAGAATTTCTTTAACATTTATGACCCCCTACTGCGGGGTGAGCCCCAAACAGGTAAGAAATGGCCAAGGAGCCACCCCAAGGCCCAGAGCACCCCTTCGCCTGAGGGAGCACTGCTTCACGCCAAGTTCCGCTGAATCCATAGAGCAGAGTCAGAAACAGCCCCACACGGCTGACTGTGAACCATCCCCCAAAAGAGAAGAACCGAGTGGGTGTCACCCAGCACCTTGTCCCCCCCAGAAGCCGCCCCTTCCAACCAGAGCTGAGCCAACACCTGGTGCTTCCCACATACTTCCTCACCGGGTCTCCACAATCATCCGGAATAAGGAAAGAAAGTCTCGCTGCCCTGGTCTGGGTGAGAGCGTCCCTGGAGGGCAGAGGGGTCGGATCTCAACTGTCTGTGGCTGCAGGACAGTCCAGCAGGTAAAGAGCCACACGCGGTTCCTTACCGGTGGCCGACCCACGACCAAGCCTGGCCACCACATCCGGTGCCCCCAAACTCTACCAGGAATGAGCCCTGAGCACCCCTGAGTACGACTGCCAAACCAAACACGCTCTCTATGACGACCGAGGCCACCTCCTCCAGGCCTGACATTCCACGAAATCCCATCGCTTGGGGGCCAAAGCATCAGATCCTGAAAAGCAAGGCCAACTTCTAGGGCAACAGCCTTGGGAACCTCACTGGAGCTGTTACCATGGCACCAGGTGTGTAAACAGGAGAGGAGAGGGCAGGGCGACCCCCCCACAGCCGGAACTGGCCCCGGATGGAGGAGGACCCGTCCCTCCCAAGTCCTTGCCCAGGCTCAAGCCCAGTGACTGCCACCAAAAGGAGCCAACCCAGCTAAGTCAAACTGCGGAGTTCCAGCTAATCCTAGTCAACAGCCCAAGGCTGGCGTTTTCTCAGCGACCAAAGTTCATTATCCCCTAAGATGACTTTGACCTCCAGCCAGGAAAAGAGGCAGGAGCCACCGCACGCCTCCCCAAGCTGCCCCCAAAACCGCCAACTCTGGAAACTTCTCCCATTTTCTCTAGTTACTCCCAGGAACTGGCTAAAGTCCCCACCTGGGGCTGACAGGTTCTGGAAAGCCCCTCCAAACTCCAAGCCATCGGCTGGCACTTCCTTGTCCTGGGAAGGCCCCGGAACTGACCATGTGTGGCCTCCGACAGCTCCCTCGCACCCCAGCCCACGAGGGGCTCCAGAAAAGCCCGGAATAGCTCGGAGCCTCTTACCACTAAAACTAAGTTCCCGAAGCTTCTCCAAGGCAATCGTGGGCTCCTTTAGGACATCCTGGAAATCTGCAATCCTAGAAAGGGAAGCGGAGAAGAAAAGGCAACAACCTCGATCCTGGATCCCCCTCCCTGAGGCGCACACACAAAGGACCAGGCCCTGCGGCCAAGCTCCCTCACATCCCAACGCTTCCAGCCTAGTCCTCGGTCCCAAAGACGATGCCAGCGGAGCCCGCGTCCAGTCCACAAGCAGCTTTGGGGAACTTGCACAGCTGCTTCTACTTCTCCCAGCCCAGAGGGAGTCTGGCCCTGCTACACTTCTCCGAGGAGCCCGTTGAAATTAAGACTCATCCTAATGTACAGTGAGCTGGCATGCAGCGGCCACTTCCTGCTGGCGGGCCCAGATCTGAACTCGGAGAACCCGAGGAAGCTGGAGTAATTTGATCGGTGGACAACGGGCCCCGCGTCACGGGCATGCAGCTCTCTGGGCTCAAGAAAATACTCAGCCATGAGGGGGCTTGGGGCCTGAGAAAGCCGGTTCTGGAAGAGAACTGAAGAATGAGGACAATTCTGCCCCACTGCTTTGGGATCTGGCCCCGGGGAAAGAACAGACTGGAAAATCCAGCATTTCTAGTAAAAAAAAAAAAAAACAAAACCAACAACGGGCCGGGCCGGTGCAGCATCTGGTGGGGAGAGGAAGTCCTGGGGCAGCGGCTCCAAAGGGGAGCACTGAGGCGGGAGCGGGAGCACCGAGCGGGGGGGGTGGGGAGCCGGGGCAGGGCGGGGGGCCACGGGGGGCTACGACGGGGGGGAGGGAAGGGGCGCCCGTGTAGCGGAGGGGCCAGGCGGCCGCACCTCCATCCGCGCCCCGTCGGGCGCCCCGCCAGGGAGGTCGCAAAGCGGCTCCCCGAGACCCCTTGCCCGGAGAGGCGGGGGTGGGGCCCCCCACCCCGGTTCCCGGCGGAAGCGACGCCCCCTGCGCAGCGCGGCGCGGGAGGCCCGGGCCGCAGCAGACGCCCCTTACCGGCTCTTGTGCAGACTCGACATGGTGTTGACTTCCGGATCCCCCCGCCGCCGCCGCCGCCGCCCGCCGCCGCCGCCGCCGCCCCCCAGGGACGCGGGGCGCTGGGCAAACGCCTCCGGAGGGAAACGGAGTCGCGGGCGCGCACGTTCCGCGCCGCCCCGCCACGCCCCGCCCCGCCCCGCGGAGGCCCCGCCCCGCCCCGCGGAGGCCCGTCCCATCCGTTGAGGCCACGCCCCCTAGTGTGGCCACGCCCCCGGAAGGCTCCGCCTCGCCCTGTTCACCCGACTCCCGCCGCCACCCCCGCAGCTGCGACCCGGCCCGGTCCCCCACCTGCGGACCCTGCGGGTGGCGTTGCAGAGACTCGCCCGCCACACACACACACCCTGCATCTCGGGGCTGTTCCCTGCGCCCTGGGAGTCAGTTTCCCAGTGCCCAGTGGGCTGCACGGACCTCAGGAGCAATCGAGGATTGCGTCTCACACACACACACACACACACACACACACACACACACACACACACCTGGAGTCCGTTTCCCTGTGCCCAGTGGGCTGCATGGACCTCAGGAGCAATCGAGGATTGCGTCACACACACACACACACACACACACACACACACACACCCCTGGAGTCCGTTTCCCTGTGCCCAGTGGGCTGCATGGACCTCAGGAGCAATCGAGGATTGCGTCACACACACACACACACACACACACACACACACCGTGCTAGAGCCCCGCTACAGCAGAGCAGCCCCCCAGCCACGCACCCTGGCGCCCGGGATGCGCCTTCCAAAGCAGCTGAACCCTCCGTGCTTGTAGTGTGGGGGGGACCGGGATGGAGCCGGGGTTGCGGTGCGGGGACAGTCTGACTGCTCCTGTCACTCACCCACGGTGAACCTCCCCTGGTCCTCCAGGACCGTCTCTGGGGTCCCGTTACAACCTTACTGCCCTCAGCAGTAAGGAATCCTGCCCTCACCCCCCCCCCCCCCCAGTCCGGATGTCACTGCAGCTCTCCTGGGTGCCCCTTCCCCGGGTATCTTCCTCCAGGTCTGGGGGAGGGGAGGCAAGGGGCTCACTCCTGTGGGGCTCAGAGGACCGTATGGGGTGCCAGGAAGAACAGGCCAGCTGCATGCCAGGCAAGCAAGCGCCTTACCCACTGTGCTATCTCACCCACAGGCCTTTGTTTTAGGACAGACATAGAGAAGAATAGACAAGAAGTCCAGAGTCTTCCCAGAAAAGAGCTTTGGTAGCTTCACTTCATTTTCTCTATACAAATATGTGCCTAAGGGCGCCACTGACTTGTTTTTGTTTGTTTGCTTTTATGTTTTTGTTTGTTTGTTTTTGGTTCAGGGTCACACCCAACAGTGTTCAAGGGTTACTCCTGGCTGTACACTCAGGAATTTCTCCTGGAAGTTCTCAGGGACCCTATGGGATGCCGGAGATCAAACAAGCAAGTGCCCTCCCTGCTGGACTATTGCTCCAGCTCCCAGAATTCCTTCTTTTTCATTTCACCACAGATCAGTGAAAATATCCAGGAGGGCTGGATATTTTAAAGGGTTTATTCCAGGGGCTGGAGAGATAGCACAGCAGGTAGGGCGTTTGCCTTGCACGCAGCCGACCCGGGTTCAATTCCCAGCATTCCATATGGTCCCCAGAGCAGTGCCAGGAGAAACTCCTGAGTGCAGAGCCAGGAGTAACCCCTGTGCATCGCTGGGTGTGAGCCAAAAAGAAAAAACTAAATAAATGAAGGGTTTATTCCGGCGGGGGAAGGGGGGGCTAGATCCCAGATACCTGAGCACTGATGGGACTAATACCCAAGGGTAGCCCAAAGTTCCCCTCACAATGAATCCGAGTGACTTCCTGTGACTTCCTGCCCCAGCTCCCGGACCCCTGCCATCAGACCTTTCCTGCAACGGACAGTCATGATGGGAAGAGCTGCTCTCTACACCTCTCTCCGTTCCCAAGCTCCTTCCAGTCTCTTCCTCTCTCCCTCCTTCTTTCCTTTCGTTCCTTTCCTCTTTCTTTTTCTTTTTTTTTCATTTTTTATAATTTTATTTATTGAATCACCGGGAAAGCAGTTACAAAGCTTTCGGGTCTAAGTCTCGGTCATACAATGAAACCCCCGCACCTTCGCCAGTGCCCATTCTACACCACCAAAAACCCCAGTACACCCCCATCCCACACCTTCCCCCTACCTGTGGGGCAGATGATTTCCACATTACTCTCTCTCTACTTTGATCACATTCAATATTTCGACACCAGACCCACCATTATTATTTGAGATTTTACCCCAACACTCAGATCTGTTGCTGAAAAGGCAACAGTAGACAATTTGTGTTCTATTGCTGGTTATGAGGGCTGGAGCGATAGCACAGCAGTAGGGCGTTTGCCTTGCACACAGCCAACATGGCCGACCCGAGTTCGATTCCTCCGCCCCTCTCAGAGAGCACGGCAAGCTACCAAGAGTATCTCGCCCTCACGGCAAAGGCCTGGCAAGCTACCCATGATGTATTCAATATGCCAAACACAGTAACAACAAGTCTCACAATGGAGACGTTACTGGGCCCACTCGAGCAAATTGATGAACAATGGGAGGACCATGACCATGCTGGTTATGAATAACATATGATGTTGCGTGGCTGCAGTAGGGCCATGTGATTTTGAAATTCTGAAATTTTAACACTTAAATCTGAAGGGATTTCTGCCAAAAGCCACTGGGCTTCAAGATTTGCTCCTGAGTCTCTGGGATCATGGCCGTTAAGCAGCTTGATCAGGAGCCAGAGAGGCCATTTGTGGGTGATGACTTGGGGTCTCGTTGGGGTGGGGAGGACAGGCCTGGCTCCAACCCCATCCCGTGAGGCCCAACAAGTTTTGTCACTGTGGATCCAAGCCTGACTGTCCAATGACCTCTGGAGGATGCTGGCCACCGAGCCGCCAGGGGGAAGCAGGCGGAGGGACAGCACCCTTTCCCCCTGGGGTGGCCCGGCGACAGTAACCTACTGCATGGTCCGGACGCATTTCTGCCAAAAGCCTCTGGGTTTTGAGATTTGCTCCTGAATCTCTGCGATCATGGCCGTTAAGCAGCTTGATCAGGAGCCAGAGAGGCCATTCGTGGGAAATGACTTGGGGTCTCGTTGGGGTGGAGAGGACAGGTCCGGTTCCCCCCCCCCCATCCCATGAGGCCCAACAAGTTTCGTCACTGTGGGCCCAAACCTGACTGTCCAGTAGCCTCTGAAGGATGGTGGCCACTGGGCCTCCAGGGGAACAGGCCAAGGCATGAAACCTATTCCCACCTGGGTTGGCCCAGAACCGGTAACGTACTGCAGGGACCAGACTCATTTCTGCCAAAAGTCACTGGGTTTCAAGATTTGTTTCTGAGTCTCTGGGATCATGGCCATTAAGCAGTTCAATCAGGAACCAGAGAGGCCATGCCTTCAATTATATAGCTGAGCTGGAGGTGGTTTGTGGGTGTGTTTCCCACATACCTAACTTTTGGCCGTTTACTTTCTTGGTAAACTTTGCCCCAAGTTTTTGGGGTGTGACCAAAGGCACAGCAGCAATTTTGGGGTATCTGGAAGTCTGAAGGCGCCATCAGGCTGCTGATGCACTCGCCTCACAGGTACAGATTAACCTGCTGAAGGCACCATACCCCCTCCCTCTTTCTTTTTCTTTCTTTTCTTTTTTCTTTCTTAGACCACACCTGGGTGCACTCGGTGCTCTCCTGCTCTAGGCTCAGGGCTCAGAAGAGCATGCTCAGAGGACCACATGGGGTGCTGGGGCTTGAACTTTTTTTTTTTTTTGCTTTGCTTTTTGGGTCACACCCGGCGATGCACAGGGGTTACTTCTGGCTCTGCACTCAGGAATTACTCTTGGCGGTGCTCGGGGGACCATATGGGATGCTGGGAATCAAACCCAGGTCAGCCGCATGCAAGGCAAACGCCCTACCCACTGTGCTATCGCTCCAGCCCCTGGGGATTGAACTCTGGACACACTCTCTGGCAGCTTTCTTTGCGGAGGTCCTTCCCACGGGCCACTCTTGGTGATATCTGGTGATACCCGTCTGGGCCGGCTCTTCAGTGTAAGGACCGAAGGACGAGGTGTTGCCCTGGCTGGGCCTGCGGTGCTGGGACCCCAGTTCCAACCTCAGTCACACGGGATGTGGTTCGGGGGACTACAGGCTATGCCCAACAGTGCTCGGGGGTCATGTTCCATCAAGGTATCAAGAGTCAGGAATCAGATCTGGGTCTGGAACTTACTATACAAGTGCCCTAAGCTCTATAATATCTCCTGGCCAGCATCCTTCCTCCCTTCTTTCCTTCCTCCCTTCCTCCCATGCTTCCCTCCCTCTCTTCTTTCCTTTCTTCTTTCCTTCCCTTCTTCTCTCCTTCACTTCCTCCCTTCACTCTTTCCTCCCTCCCTCCTTCCTTTCTTCCCTCCCTCCTTTCTTCCTTTATTCCTTCTCTTCTTCCTTCCGTCTACTCCTTCCCTCCTTCCTCCCTTCTCTATCTTCTCTTTCTTCCCTTCCTTTCTTCTTCTCTTTCTTTCCTTCGCCCGTTCTTCTCTGCCTCTCTCCCCTCCTCTCTCTTTCCCAGGGCCTTGCACGTTCCAGAACACTCTGCCCGATGCCCATTCCAGCCTTTCTGCACAGTTTCTGTGCATCCTCTTCAGGCTCAGTGCTAAAAATTTCTGAAGAAGAGAAGACTAAATTCCTTTTTAGGAAATATAAGCAATAAATACATGCTGACTTCATCAAACAATTGGAAAGGAATGCTTCTCCATCGAAAAAGGGAGAGGGACGAGAAAATAACATAAATAAAGGGTTCAAGCACATACTTTGCTTGCAGGGGCCCAGGGTCAACTTCCAGCATCAAATGGTCTCCAAACACCTCTGATGGTGATCCATAAATTTTTCTTTTTCTTGTTCTTTCTTTTTTTTTTTCTTTTTGGGTCACACCCGGCAATGCTCAGGGGTTACTCCTGGTTCTGCACTCAGGAATTACTACTGGTGGTGCTCAGGGGACCATATGGGAGGCTGGGAATCGAACCTGGGTGAACCGTGTGCAAGGCAAATGCCCTAACTGTTAGGCAGATGCCTAATGTGCTATTGCTCCAGCCCCCATAATTTTTTCTTAATGCAAAAAACAAAAGGGAAGT